GTCATTGTTGAAGGACCGGTGATATTCATCACTGGCCCAGGAAGACTTCGGCTTAGATGACCATGATGACTTCGGCTTGTAGGACCAGCTGTTCCAGCCTCGCCAATATCCACCTCGAGCTACGTCTTTCTTATTGTTATCTTCTTGAGCGGTACTCTTCGAAAGTTCTTTGAACTTAGCACGCTCCAATTTAGCCTTCTCTACTTCAAGCTGCAAAGTCAGCAAGGTAATCTGCGATGTCGTTGTACTCGCGGGAGTTGCTGCGCAAGCCGTAGTCGCGTTAGGTGCTTTCTTAGTCTTGGTGGTAGTCGCGGGATTTGCAGCAGAAGCCGTAGTCGCGCGAGTTGTTTTCTTGGTCGTCGTTGACGGCGTCGTCGCGATCGTCTTGCTACTCTTGCCACAAATGCAGCGGCCAGCCCCCCACTTGCCGCACCCTGGGCATTTTTGTCTGGCCATGGCACTAACACCTACGCGTTGATATGAAGATGGGCTTCTGGATGCATGCGCGTTAGAAGGTATACATGCATGTTCAGGTCGCGGTGCCATACGTTGCAAACAAACACTCGGAGGTGTCACGGTATAAAACGACAGCCTCACTGTTTAGATGGGGTCTTTGGTGGAGAATACGCATGACAAGTTATACTGAGACTATAGTCCCAGAGACTCCAAGATCCCTTCATTAAGGAATATCCTTAAATCAGATTTACTAGGGATCCCATTATGATTTAAGCTATATTCCTTAATCAAGGGATATTGGAGTCTCTGGGGTAGGGAACCGGCAAGACCAAAACACCAAAGCCTCAGGGCTCTACAGTTGTTTTCGTGGGGATGCGATGCCAGGGCTTGGGGCTTTGGCCCTAGCCCAACAGAGATTCGGGTTTCAGGGTGTAGGGTTTTGAATTTAGGGTTCTGTGTTTGGGTTTTTGGGTGGCTTTAAGAGTTTACGGTTGAGGATTCAGGGTGTGCAGGGTTTAGGGTTTTGAATTTGAGTTTTTTTTATGGGCGATTATTACGGCCTCTATAGTAGACCCTAAGAGCCCTGGGAACTCAAGGAACCCTAGGTGCTTTAAGAGAACTGTAATAATCCTGAAGTGCTGGCAGACACGACCATGTTCAGCACCGCAGCCGCCACATCCGCCTCCGTGGGCAAGGTTTACGGTTCAAGAGGCCGTGAGTTTTGGTGCGAGAGCCGCACAAGCCACCAGAAGAACAGCTGTTGCCTTGCAACTTGTCGACAACCAGGTGTACTAAAGTCGAGCACTAAAGAAACAAACAGAAAGGCGACAGGATCCTTCAATGCGAGCCATTCCAAGCTACACAACGCAAAAAGGAGCTTTCGCATAGAACAAGCAGAGATGTCAAACACGGAAGACAGAAACGACGAGAATGGGAACAAACTCCCCAAGCCTGCTTTGGATCCGGAGCCCTAAACCACCCTTCACAAGGAGCCCTAATCCCCCAAGGAGCCCTGAACGACCCTTTATAAGGGACCCAAACGTCCGAGGATCTTCGGATCTCGGGGACGTCCCTGCATGGTCGCGAGGAAGGCGTTGAGAGACGGCTGGAAGATGCCATCCGCGAAGGCTGGGAAGCAGCCTTTTGCTGCAAATAGGGAGTTTAAGGGAGGTTTTTTTTAAGGGTTTAGGGGGTTTAGGGCTGAGGTGCTTAGGGCTTAAGTTAACAAGTTCAGGGTTCAGGGTTTGGGCTTTGGTGTTAAGGGTTTAAGGGTTAAGAGCATTATGAAGTGGATCACTTAAGCGATCTACATGGGGCTCCTTCGTTTACGGGGGCTACGTACCCGAACCCATGATTGTAATTCCTACTATGTAAACCCTACCTTGACTATCCAGGTTCGTAAGGCGAAGCAGCCATCCACGATGTCGCAGCCAGCGTCTGCCATGGCGTGCAGAGTGGCGAGCTGTGCAGAAGAGGTGTTGTGCCTGGGTTCTTATTAAAAGATGCAAGAACCAAGTTCCCATAATAAGGAAACCATCTTATTCACTAGAGGTCCTATAGATGCCTATTGTGGTAACTCACAGACACAGCGCGTGTTCTGAATCATCGGAGCTGCATGTGCCGGTTTCAGCAATCTGACCATATCCTGCACTTTTAGGGTTTAGGGTTTACGGAAAAAGTACGAAAGTATGGTACTCCAAAGCTCAGTGTCCTTGATGGCAATCATGTGCGCTCCAGCGCCCACGCATTTCTTGGAGAGATCCTCTGGGGATCTATAAGGGTTCCTTCCTTGTAGTAGTCGACGGCATAGATCTCTTCATCGGACTCCGAAAGTCTCCAGTGAAGCACGTGGCGATCTCAGCCACTTTCTTCATCTTACACACGGCTTGGTTCGAGACCTGAGTTGCTCAGCTCACAAGCCCCAAACCTACCGCCCTGAGGACTCATATGTTAAGATTTCTGGGTCCGCAAACCATACTACAGCAGGCTATTAACTGGACGATTTTGAGGCTTAGGGCACAAGTGCCCCAAAAAGTTTGAATGTGACCATTCCGCCACCGAGAGACCTTCATCTGCTCAATGTCATTGAAGCAATCGACAATCCGGAATACGTCCATGCCCGATGCGGCAGCCTGGCGCACAAACTCTTCGACCATATTGTCCCGAGCCGTTGGATTTCCGAAATTTTACGGATTAGGATATGATTTCGGTGGTATTTTCTACCACAGTTCGGCTCAGTAAAAGAAAACAGCAGTATAGGAAACAAAAATATGTTACATTTATCCTACTATAGGATCACACTAGCTATATCGATGTATATATATATATACATATATGTATATATACTACATAGACTATGTGTATATTCGACTACTACTACAACTACGACGACGACTGGTACTCCTTACTGTTTTCCCAGGGAAAACGACGCCATCTGTGGTAAAAGGGAATTTCATAGCAGGTCCTCAAACACTCGCACACCCTGCGACAGATACGAACGTATAGAGGCTGGAAGGGTATGCTATTTGTAATTGTTCCGACTCATGTGCGGTGTAGTGTTGTGAAGCCTCATGGCGTGGATGAACTTTCGATCCTGGAACAGGGGTCTGGGCTTAGCCACGGGTTGGGTTTGAGGGATGATGGCGGACGCTTAAGGTAGAGGCCGTGTACTAGAACCTTATGGGTGCACAGTAATACCGTGATTATGGTCAGTTGCAGAGTCAGCGGGTTCATCGCCTCGTGGCTACCTAACAGTGTAATTACTTCAATAAGATCATTAGGACCAAGGTTATACTGCGATCCCAAGCGCAGCGGCCGTGGCTCCGGAGACCATCATGGCAAAAGAAGTCGCCATGGCCATGCTAGCTCTGGGAGTTGGTTGAATTTGTTTATGCGTGAAGACTCTACGCTTCACGGATGAGGCTAGATAACAGATTCTTAAGCTGCATGAATCACTGAAGCCCTGACTGCTTCAGGCTTCTTGGTGCATGACGCTTGTAAAGATCGAGACATCTGCGTGGGCATCAGTTCGCATGCAAGTTGCGCCTGTTCCAAGGCCGGACGGGCGAACGCAATGCACGCATGGGATTACAACATCTTACATTATCGGGTGCTTTGGCAGCGGTGGTGCAGGGGGGGGGGGGGGGGGGGGGGGGGGGGGGGGGCAGGGGGGGGGGGGGGGGGGGGAGGGGGGGGGGGGGGGGGGGGGCTTGCTGTTTCTGTTGGGGGGGGGGGGGGGGGGGGGGGAACATTGATTAGCAGTGAAGGGGGAGGGGGGGGTGGGGGGGGGGGGGTGGCTTTGTCTCAAGTTCGCCCAACACTGGGCGATCTATCTTCAAAAGACTGTCGGATCGCACTTCTCAAGACACATCCATCCATCCATCCCTCCCTCCATCCATCCATCCAGTCATCATCGGCATGATACAAGGCCTCTTCCCGTGCTCCCGGTTACGAGGCTGTGACGACAACTGGCGCCAGCACATCGGAAGCTCACGGGGAGCACGGGCCGAGTTTGGAAATGGAGGTCAGGGTTTGGGAGTTCAGACCTACGGATACGGGATGACGAGGGATGACGGTACACAACATAGCTGTCGTGCTGGCAGCCCCTTTTGAGGGCTTCCCGTGAAGTTTGCATCCCCAAGCTCCGTCCTGGGATTGAACCGCTCGGCGGAGTCCATCGCAATGCCGCAGCTGCCCCCGCAAACATAAATGGAGGGCGCCTGGGATTCAGGGTTTCAGCCTCCCGCTGTGGGCGCAAGAGCCCTGAAGCATGCTGACTACGTGGAAGCTCCATGGTTTGGGTTCGGGGCTCAGGGCGTCGTCAGGTTTCTTGCCCTCCGTGCATATTCCTCCGCAGCTGATGGAAAAGGGCTGACTGCGCGGCATTACCTCTGGGATCTCCTAAACACTGACCAGGAAAATCCAAAACAGTAACAAGCCCTGCCACACGCTTCCAGGGGTAGCCAAATACCCCTCAACGTCCACCCCTTTGACGATCCCAATGTTGGACCTGGCCTGAAGCCCGTTTGGCCCCCGCGGGCCTCCTTGGAGATCAGGGGCAAAACTGGCCGCAACCTTTCGGGAAGCCAAAAAATCGACAAGATGTGCTGGCCTTTGGTGGGGCCTCACACGGTTTCATGAGCTAGCCATGAAGTCTTACAGGCTTCTCCGGCATCTGTGGTGCGTTGCAACACGTCGCGACAATTCGTGTTGGTGACCGGTCCAGCAGTCCCGATTGAGCATGAGATGGAGATGGAGGTGCCTAGTAGTTGGCAACATAGGTGGAATGGTTTTGGAGGGGGACTCCAGGACCTTGCTTTTGATCCCGCAATGAAGCCGTTCAAGCGGCGGCTCCCAGGAAAGCTTCGCCGCATCTCCCCGCAGAATGCCCGCAGATACTCTGCTCTCTACACTCCAGGATTGAGGAGCTGTGTAAACTCTGTACAGCCGCAAGCCGCAGGAACGCTCCAGTACTCGATGGGCGTGCCTACTCCGTGAACTACCACGAAAGCAGGCCTGCCACCGGCCCTGCTCGCATTCCCCTCTTAAGCTGCGTAAATCGCCTTCGCCTTGGCATAGAGCGCCTTTCCCTGGGCGCTCTTGCCGCCAACCGCGCAGAATCCCTTCAGGCCGAGTTCCTTCCTCGCCGTGATGACCGCCTCAACCCATTTCTTTGCGAACTGCTGGAACAGGGCCTTGCCCTTGGCGTGCTGCTTCTTGCTGACAATCCGGCCGCTCTTGCTTTTCATCAGGTCCGTCTTGCGGAGGCCAGTGTAGGTCTTCTCCTCAAAGGTATTCAGGAGCCAGTGGCATCAAGGGCATGCAGAAATGGCTCTTTCAAAACATGTCTATGCCAAGAACCACAGGAAAGCCAAGACAGAGGTTTCACGAAAGAGGGAGGGAGAGAGCAGACAGCAAGAGAGGGGGAGAGAAGGCAGGAGGGAGAGTGCGAACGGCCAAGAACCCAACAAGCAAATGTCAAATCCGTCCGGCAACCTGCTACTCTTCGTCCAGAGGCTCCTTGCTGCCCTTGAACACGGCAAGTTTAGCCCGCTTGCCCTGGGCAATCTTGCTGATTGCCTTCCTCTTCATGGCCTGCACTTGAACCGATTCGGTTTCGCCGTTTCGCCTAATCTACGGCTCGGGCTTCCTCGATGTCTGACGCACGTCATCGTCTTCTTATCTGCTGAACTGTCAAAGGTTTCGCTTGTCTGTGTCAATTTCCTGCGGCACTGCTCTCACTCGTGCTTTGCTCGACGATGCATTCTGCCACGGCTCTTGTCTTGCGGGCTGCACGTTGCTACACCGAGCACCTAAAAATCTCTCTACAGTGTCCCGGCCCACCTTCATTGCCTTGGCCTTCATGGACTTGGCCTTCATGGCGCTGCCCTTCATTGCCTTCGGGAAGTTCTGTGGAGAAGCGTCCGTTGTGGATTTTTTGGGAATGCTGCAGGTTGCCAGCTAAAGTACACTCTGAACTCTGACTATACCGGTTGCGGCCTTTTTCATGGCGGTCTTCATCGGCAGGGCCATGGCTGAGAAACGGCGAGGGGCACGAGGGGCGTCTGAGCTTGTGGTGGCCGGCTACAGCCAAAACGCCAAAGGGGGCATTGGGACAGAGCTGCAGGGTTCACCACCGTGCAAAGGCTTTCAGGTCCTTCGGAGCACCTCCAAGTTCGAACCCCGAACGACTCAGCATGGGCCACTGAAATTGCACGAGGAATGTGTGAGGGCTCACTGGCAGGGCCCCCGCAGGACTCGTCTGATGAAACCACCGCGCTCTGCTTAAGCCGATACCGTCCCGAAACCCTCACCCTACACCCCCTCTCCGAACCTCATGCAAAGCAACAGTCTGGGCCATCGGCGCATCAGCGGTGCAGCGACACAGCTCCGACAGCCTCAGCCGTACTTGGAGATTGTTGAGGCTTGGCTCCCGTGCTTTTATGGGGATTGTGGCCTGTCGGTATGCCTCCGCCCGGCCCGGCTCGAAGAGTTTGGCTGAAAGGGATTTGTGGTCTTGGGCTTACCGTTGCGTGTTCAGGGCTTGTTCGAAGGCTTCCTTGAACTGCGAAACCAACAGCCTCCGAACAAAACTAAAACTCTACCCCAAGCACAAAAAAGAGGCAACGTCCGAACCTCCCATGGCCCAACCCTCAACACTCCACCCACTCACTCACAGGCTCTGAGGCGTCCAAACTCCACCCCAAACAACAAAACAAAACCCCTGTTCTAATTGGCAGTGTTAAGACTCGACATGGGCCCGAGGCTTGAAGGCCGTCGTTGCACCCGCGAGGTGGCCTAGATTTCGGACCACCTGGCCAGTGGATTCTGGCGGTTTGGGGCGTGTTTTGGAGTTGAGGGGTTTGGGGTTTAGGATGGGGATTCAGCTGGGGCTTACTAGAATGTGCCGCATTCTTCATTGCTGCCGTTGGTAGTGAGCTGGACACAGGCGTTCTATGATCTTTAGTCCTCGTGTCGACAACACGCCCGCTATGGTTACTGTTGTCGGGCATCATGATCTAGGTTTGTGGACAAAAATAGTGAAGCCACATGCCCGCAGGCTTCGCCAAAACCACCGAATACCAAACAACACATGCACCACTGATTTGTTCAGAAGCGTTCGGGGACTGACAGGTTGCCTTACAAACCACAATGGCCCGAAGCTGCCGCCAAATCCTCACGAGCCTCTTTCAGGTGAAGAGCAATGCTGGCCTCAGAGACTTCAAACTCAGCACCACGATTCAAGCCCAATTCCAAAGTAGTCACAGTATTTCCTGCGTGGCCTTTCCGCCGGCTGCTTGATTCAACATGGGAACAGACAGAAGCTTGCACCGTTGACAAAAGTACCGACGCTTTTAGTTTTCATTGTTCCCCCTGGCTCTCTGGTCCCTCTCTGGCAGGAGAAGCTGAGTAACGGCGGGTCGCTCTCGCTCCTGCGCAGCTAGAGGTGTTCCAACTCCAGGGACAGCCGTCTCTTCATTGGAGAAAATCCACGCGCCCTAGTTTGGGTCCTCCGCGCGCCACATCACCCCGATGAGATGCGCCAGAAGCCTGGAATGCAGGGTTTCGGTCCTTGGGTCTCGGGTTCAGGGTGTCGTGGGGGTTGAGGTTAAGCGTAGGGTGTGGAATTGGCAGGTAGGATTCTGGGTGCCAGAGGCTTCAAGGGGTTGGACTTCGATTTTGCCAGCCCCAGCCACAGGTCAAGCGATGACGACGATGATATTGACGATGCGGTGCTGCGATGGCATGATGATGAAACAATACATGTGATTCGACCTGTTATGATGGGTATGATATAACAGCTTGAGATGGCATGACATGACATGATGTGATATGAGATGAGATGAGACGAGACGAAATTGATTGAGATGCATGCTCAAACACGCCAGAACGCCCGGCCCGTGCGCCGCGCTCCGCGCTGTTTGTGCATTCGGCATCTTCACCCGCCACGAAGCAGTCACGGACGGCGCCCTCGCCTGCTAGAAAGAGCCGACTTGCTCGATACGGCCGTGGTCCCCGGGACCTGCCGCGCAGATGCAGGTTTTGGGGGGGAACTGTGCTTGCTGTCCAAAGCCGTGGGTGGGAAGGGTTGTCACTGTCAAGTGCCAGCAGCCTCTCGAGGTTTGGAAAAGACACGTACAAGACGATCTCGGAGGTCAAAGGTCACTTCCACTTCATCCACAACCCTCTGCGCCCCGTAAAAAGACAGAAAGGTACGCTGTGGGGGCCCTGGTTTTTCACATACAAGGTTTTGCGATGTTTTGTGCATTGTCGCTTAAAGCTTGGCCTTTGAATGTCAGCGATTTTCACTACAAAACCTGCGAAAACACTGTAAATATAGGGCCCCCAGAGCGTTCCACCCTCTAAAAAAACGCCGATTGAAACCGCCGTAAACCGTAAACCTCCCTGCATGACCTTCAAGCTTTGTACCCCTCAGTGCCCGTGTACCCCTCAGCCCGCAACGCCCCCGCAATGCGATCCTTCTCCAAGGCCTCCGCCGTTACGGTAGCGCCTCAAGCCCGGATGCGGGGACTTCGAACTCTTCGGCAACTTCAGTTCAAAGGCGTTTTTTTTTTATGTTTTTTGGTTTACGCAGAGGCTTAGGACCTAGGATGTATGATGTGAAATCGCGCCGCGGCTTAGCCGATGGTTGAATCATGTTTAGGTCCGGCTTCAACTTTGCCAAGTGCTGGCGATGGGGATGTGGGCCACTTCAATGAGGTCTAAATGTGCAGAGCTTCCTGGTTTAAGGACCCTCGACCGATCTAAAACCTAGGGCGCTTTTGAGGTGAGCCGCCCCTGCCAAGCACAGACCCCGAGGCCTCAAGCCACATAAACCCCGTAAGACTGGGCCCCATAAGGCCCCCCCGTGGCGCAAAGATGTGCCCTTGTAGCCCTCAACGCTAAACCCACGTGGAGCCTAGGCCTAGGCCCTACATTCCCAAACCTTGGGAGGCGTCTGAGTTTTCGACTTCGCCTGGCCGGAGTCGGGGCCTCCTTCTCTTCAGCTGGAAGGCGTCTTCGGGCTTCGGGCTGAGAGGTTGCTGGGGCTTTAGGGCTCTTAAGGGCCAAGGCTTCGGAAGCTCCTCGTCCTCACGATGGGGCAGCTCCTGCGAGGACACATGGGCTTGGACTTGGGATGAGCTGTATGGGGCAATCGAGAGTTCGGCGCCAGAGGAAAGCTTAAAGGTCCGGTGCTTCGACCCTACTGCGGCTGCAGACCCCCTAGCCAGCACAAAGATGGCAGGGAAAGCAGCTTCGCGTGCCCGGTCTAAAACTGGATGTCATGCGGAGTGCGGCACACTACGATTTCATGTGGTGGTGTGGCTTCGCACAAATGGTACATCGGAAACGTACTAGCATAAACGCGAGAGTGCAAACATGTGCAAACAGGCTTGCGAGACACACTTACCCTTCGTTGGGAGACACTCAAGGCCACAAGTGTCCATCAATCACACTTTTCCAAATTTGTGTAACACCCACGTCCTGAGGCTTCTCATGCTCAGCGGGCTCCATGAGGAAGGTGGACCGGCAAGCCTCAGCACCGGACAGCGTCTCCCATATTTAAAACCTTATGGTATGACTCTCGGTGGACCATCTGGACACATCTTCAGATTGTTTAGGCCCTTTGGGTTTTGGGTTGTGTTCTGGAATATTGTATTGGTTTTAGCGTTGCTTTGTTTCGGGATTATTGTGTTGGTTGTTGGGAGGTGCTTTGTGTGTTGGTGTTTTGAAGGGTTGAAATGTTAGGCGGTCTGAGAAATGGTGTGAAAGTGTAGGGGGGTATAGGATGTGAGGTGTGGGTAAGGGCGGTGCTTCGGAGGAATTGGGCTAGGAGCTTTGGTTTTGGATTGTATTTGGGATTTCGGCGTGGGATTTGGTGGACGGTTTTGGTTTTGGATTGTGTTTGGGATTTCGGCGTGGGATTTGGGAGGTGCTTCGAAGATTGCGGGTTTGAAGGGCTGATTTATCAAGTGGATTGACAATTGAGGTGAAAGCGCAGGGGGAGTACAGGCTGTGAGGTGTGAGGTTAGCCATTGCTTGCTCTTAAATGGCCCAAGAAGCGGTGTGGAACACGTATTGTGAAGGTGGTCCGTATTGTCGCCGTGCTAATACAGGATACTTCTTGCACATCCAAACAAAATCCTGCTTCAGGAAGGATCCGGGGTCGCTCTGGCTCGGATGTCTGTCAACTGCTGGCATAAACCCCGAAACTCCGAAAGAACACCCCCCCCAACCCCCAGTCAAGCTCGGCACCGAGGCGGCACATGGAGAAGCGGCCGACAAAGTCGCGACCGCAGGTCCCAGAGCCTTCGGTTCCGGGCTGGGCCGGGCCCCTCTGTAGGGTTGGAGAATTCAGGGTTGTGGTTTGTCGGAGCTTTGGCTTCACAAGGTCAAAGGATTTTTCGGGTCTTAGGGGGTCGGACTGAGGTCAAAGGGCCTCTGCACAGTCTAGGTCTGGGGTTCAGGTTTGGTTTGTACCGGGTTCTAGAGGCCGCCTGGGCTTGTCGGCTTTTGGGGCCCTTGGGGGTTCCGGCTGGGGTGGTGGGTGTAGGGTGGAGGGGGAGTTTTCTGAAGGGCGCAGGTCCCAAGTACCGGACTAGGCCGCCAAGGCTTGAGGCGCTTGTCAAAAGATCCAAGGCAAAAGATGACTGAAGCCCCGAGGCAAGCCCCGAACCAAACTCGCACCGCGGTGCTTTACCTAAGGCCCGAAGGAGCAGAGCTCACTTTCGGCCGGGCCCCTAAGATCCCCTAAGCTTGGACCCCAAACCGTGCAAACCCACGCCGGAAGAATACGATCTACAGCTTGAGGGTCTTCATCCGAGCTCAGAATTCTGGGGAAACACTTCTGCATCCTTTGACAACACCACGAGCCTCTGCGACCACACGCACCTCGGGGCAGGGTAGAGGCTTATGGCCTTGAGATGTCGCACGCCAGGATCCCTTGGAATTCCAAACATCGCGTGGGAGTAACGAGCAATGCACACAATCTTATGCTGGTCGTACAAACCGTCCCTCACGAAATTTGTTGCTGCTCTCGGCCCATAGCCTCTGTTCTAACCCTTGCTTCGACCGCCGTCGATGACTCTCAGACATCCCAGACACCCCTAAGACAGCCCTATTCGCCAAGGCGCAGCTGCAGGGCTTCGACAGAGGCTCTGAAAGGCTGCGGCTTGCCTCGAGGGCCAAAAAACTTCGCATGAAGCGCTTCCGGGTTGAAAATATGCCGCCTTGAACGATTTTCGGTTCGCACCTTGCAGGTTGTATTGTAGGATTTGGTGACTTCCAGCTGGGTTTCGCAGTTACAATCTGAGTTGGAGAAACATGCGGTGTGCCGTTGTTGGGATCTTGTGCGAGGCACGGGTGACGACGTATCAACGACATGACGACAACATACCCAGCCTCGCCGAAACCCCAACCCTCACGTGGACCTCATGTAGCTACCCCCTGGTTAGAACAGTGATTTAGGGTCTCCTGCATGAGTCTCTAGGGACCTTGGAGGAAATACGCAGAGCCCTGCTACAAGTTAGAACTTGAACGTAAGACCTCCCCAAAAACCCGAACCTTACCGACGCTATGGGTTTAGGGGTAGAACCAACCGACTACAGACCCTCTATCCCGTAATGCCAACTATTCAAGAAGTTAGGGGCTCTAGTTTGAAAGCCAAGGCACAGTCTACGTGAGCCTTGTTCCACAAGGTCCTTCTGTAGGCTTGGGTTTAAGGTTCTGGATTTGGGCATTTGGCATCCTCACGCTCCAGGCTGAGCCACACAGAGCTTAAAGGAGGGTTCCAACTCCTTGCACCCGCTGCAGATTTTGCAGACACAGATCACTTTAAATCTGCATCCGATGGCTTCCGGGGCTTTACTGCAAGGGGTTATTGTTCCTTGAAGGTCTCGCGAGTAATGGCTCAGGCTTGCAGAGCTTCCGACCCACGATGCGTAACCAGGCACTACAACGTTACAGGGCGTCAAAACTTGCGTATACTCTTGGCTGACTGAGGAAACAAAGCTGAACGTTTCTAAACCCCCAACAAAGAAAAGCTTTCGCAAGCGACTGTGTAATGAAGGATTTTAGAAGCAAACTCCAAGAGCCGAAATCCGAAACCTGAAATGGTATGTTAGCACCCAACCCAAGAGCGTCCTCGTTGGTCAGCACGCCTTTCGCCCGGAGGCAGTCGCACAGTGTGCCGTAGTCCTGGAAGTTGAGGATCAGATGCTGACGCTTCAGGGCTCCATACCTCCAAGTCTTGGTGACAGTGCAAGTATTCCGGCTGTCACTGTTGATGCATTGTTTTTTGTTGTGGCTCTTCTTTCCAAGTCTTGCTTGCATTGCAACCACTACCAACTCAGCAATGCTACACTCATCACGATGCTGTTTAGTATGTATTGTTGTGGCGTCGCGCTCATGTATTTCGAGTGGCATGCACTTGTGAACAGCAATCCGGTCCTTAAACGTCATACGGCCAGTTGGTGGATCCGGAGTCAAGCCCTTTTCACAACTCTTTACAAACAAACTGCTGTTGCAGCTACTACTAGAGCGACTGCCTGCGAACAAGTTAATGGCAATAGGCCTCTGCATGTCTACACGCACGAGCTTTGCTACTCACACTTTCCAACCTGCTCCTCCGACTTCGACTACTCCACTCTGCTGCTGCTGCTGCTGCTGCGCTGCTGCTGCTGCTACTACTACTACTACTACTACTGCTACTACTAGTACTAGTACTACTACTACTACTACTGCTACTACTACTACTGCTGCTACTACTACTACTACTACTTTTTCTACTGACTACTACTACTACTACTACTACTACTACTACTACTACTACTACTACTGCTAGTACTACTGCTAGTACTACCACTGCAACTACTACTACGACGACGACTACGACTACGACGACAACGACTACGACTACTACTAGTACTACTACTACTACTACTACTACTACTACTACTACTACTACTACTACTGCTACTTCTACTTCTACAAGAAGGCCTGTTGAGGCAATACAAATGTTGACAAAAGGCATGACAATTCGAAACCGCATGCGCCCTCTGCACGTGCCGGTTTTGCGCGCCCTGTATAGGCGCATCGGTTAAAACAATCCAAGCAAATTTCCAGTACAACTATGCCATTCTCAGCGGAAGCGAGTGGTGCGGGTCCTCTCGAAGCTGCTCGACATCTGCCTGGAGAGCCTCCAGGACCAGGAAGAGCTTGGAGAGCTAAAAGGCTCAGGGGATGCTGGGTTTCGCGCCTAAGACTTTGATATTCGAACATCGACGGCTCATGGCATGCAGTTTCGGCATCGGTCATGCTATAAAACATCTGCAGATTCTGGGGTGTAGGGCGTCTGATCTCCCCGCGTGCCTTGAGAGAGGAGTCCGAATTCTCCGAGGCTGTCGACAGGCTCGTAGCGTAGCTTGCGGCATGGGAGTCGGACAAGGAAGATCTGCGCCGGGTTCAGGATCATCCTCTTTCTCGCTCTCCCTATCTCTCTTTCCAATTGGAGACCATCGACATGTGGTCCCTGTCGTTTCAAAGAAACGAGAGATCTGGCAGCGGATACCCGGCCTTTCCAACTTCGACTCAAGGGCCCGAGCCTTCGCCCTCGGGAAACGGCACTTGGCTTAGCAGGGGTGATAGCTGAAGGGCCATGTTATACCACGGTCATAATACGGAGCCCTAAGAGTAGTCCATTTTTGACCTACTTCTGTATAGTTGCAATCAGGCTCCTGTTGCATGAGTTTCGGGCTAAGGGCTGAAAATCTGCCACTATGCAACAATGCAAAAAACATGCGAGAATGACTGGGCATGCCACTTACCACCATAAAGCATTCCATGATAATGTGCCCAAAAACCGTCCAGCATCTTGTCCTGATGTCGAAACAAGTTCTACTTTCGCCTGCACCAAGCATCGAAGCCAGCTGCAATGTCTGAACCCCAAGAAATAAACACGATCATCGGCCGTCATTGGCCTTACTGAGGACGTAGGATTTGGGGTTTCGGGTACAGGGTTTTGCTACGCCGAGCCTCAGCCGCAGCCGGCGCCGCTGCAGCAAGGCGAAGCCGGCCATTGGCCTCTTGGCCTCGATCACTAGTTGATTGTCACAAAGATGCACCATGACTGCCGCAATAAGCTTACCACTAGCAGTAGTAGTGTCCTGAACATTGCCACAAATATCTAATATCATTATCATTAGTGTTATGCTTGTCCCTCCTCCTCCTTCTCCTCCTCCTTCTGCTGCTCCTGCTGCTGTTGCTCCTGCTACTGCCACTGCTACTGCTCAGCAAACCGCTCGAAAAATGGCCAGAGAATCTCACACAAAGGTAGCAAAGCGCTCGAGAAGGACTCGAGAATCTGACAAGCAGGTAGCAAACCGCTCGAAAAGTACTAGACAATCTGACAAACAGGTAGCAAACCGCTCGAAAGGGACTAGAGAATCTGACAAACAGGTAGCAAACCACTCGATGGGTACGAAAGAGTCTGGCAAAAAATATAGCAAACCGCTCGAGAAGAACTAGAGAATCTGACAAGCAGGTAGCGAACCGCTCGAAAAGTACTAGACAATCTGACAAGCCGGTAGCAAACCGCTCGAAAGGGACTAGAGAATCTGACGAACAGGTAGCAAACCGCTCGAAAAGGGCCAGAGAGAATCTGACAAACAGGTAGCAAACCGCTGGAAAGGGACTAGAGAATCTGACAAACAGGTAGCAAACCGCTCGAAAGGTGCTATAGAGAATCTGACAAACAGGTACCAAAACGCTGGAAAGGGACTAGAGAATCTGACAAACAGGTAGCAAACCGCTCGAAAGGGACGAGAGAATCTGACAAACAGGTAGCAAGCCGCTCGAAAGGGAATAGAGAATTGACAAACAGGTAGCAAGCCGCTCGAAAGGGACTAGAATCTGACAAACACATTACAAACCGCTCGAAAGGGACTAGCGTGTTTTGCGACGGTCTGCGAGGTCGCGAGGTTGCGAGTTTTTATTATGACGACCACGACTTGCTTTGGTGGGTATCGACATCTAGGCATGAGAATCAATACTCGGCAGCATACTTCTATGAGGAGCATTGTAGAAGGGTTTTGCAAACAGGGCACCTGGCCGCTTCGTTGCGGGAAAGGGGTTTCGGGCCCACCAGCGCCTTTGTACTATCCTCATGTCACTGGGCTTACTACTACCTACTGCTGCTGCTGCTATTACTACTCCTGCTACTACTGCTACTGCTGCTACCGCTGCTGCTACTGCTGCTACTGCTGCTACTGCTGCCACTGCTACTACTGCCGCTACTGTTCCTACGGCTACTGCTACCGCTACGGCTGCGGCAACGACTACTGCTATTGCTACCGCTCCGGCTGCTACTACCTGCTGCTGCTGTTGCTACTGCTATTACTCCTACTACTCCTACTACTCCTATTACTCCTACTACTCCTACTACTCCTGCTACTCCTGCTACTCCTGCTGTTACTGCCACGTTGAGGGATCTGGAAGTATTCCTGGTCCAAGGCTTCGAGGCTTCGCCACAGTGTCGGGTAGCTCGGGCTTATGGTTGGGACGGTGGCGGCCAAGCGAAAAAAATGTCGGAGGAATGACCACCAAAAGACCACATAAGCGCAAGGAGTCATAAGGATCTCTCGCGATGAAGGTTTTCTGGAATCCGCCGTGTAAGGAGATATGGGGGGATCATTTTAAGTCCTATCCCCCAAAAGAGCACTCACGGCATAGGATGCAGGGTGTGCCACCTGTTAGACTCAAAATTTTTGGATTTGCTGAGCTTTGCGTTCGGGCCAGGGCCAGGGCCAGAGCTCGTGTTCAACACGTGGACGACGGCACTCCCATGGCAAAGGATGCCTTCCTGTTTTAGTGAACTGGTCTGTGAGTCAGGAATAAATCCACGACAGTTCTAGCCGCACAGTGAGGCGCAACATTGCCTGCTGCTGTCATCGTTCTTCTGATCGATATTTTGCACAAACGCCCATTGCTATAGCGATCGCATCGCAGCTGTCACAGTTGTCTCACGAATCAAGACAAACCTGGAAATCTAAGTGGCGTTACGCTGTTGTGCTGTCTGCGATGGGGTGCAGTGCTACTGTTTCTTGTCCGAAGCAGCTGGAGCCGGAGGCCTTCACCCAGCCCAGCTGCGGTTGGAGGTCGGACCAAAAGATTCTCATCGACGCTTGAGGACTGAGACGAGGAAGGTGAGAAGGAGGGCTTGAGCAAGTTTGTGTCTGATCATTGCACGTCTACACTACTGCTTCGTGGCTGCTCTCCATGAGGTGTGAGGTTGCAGCAGATCCTTTCCAGAAACCAGAAATTGAGACCTGGCATGCAATCAATGGATCTCAGACCTCGCTGACAGCAGCGTACATGCCTGAACCCCTACTCAACAGGAGGCGATTCAAGAAGCGGCCTTGTTGGGGCGGCTCTTTTTCTCACTCCTGCGCTGCCTTGGAGATGAAAGGCTTAATGGGAGCCGAAGGGCCGGGGACGAAGGAGATCCAGCCTTCCCTCCAGTCCATGAGAGACCTCGCCCGCATCACCACACAGGTTTGGGGCGTGATCTTCACCGGCTTCCCCTTGGCCTCGAAGACCTCGCCGGCCTCGAGCTGACGAAGGACCTCCGTGCCCTTCACGCTGCTCTTTAGGCTCACTGCGCGTTCCAGCAGAAAGTGGCTCTTGCTCTGCTCCAGGTACACGGTGCCCTGGTTCCCCTTCAGCGTCACCCAGCCTTCCCGGCCGTCCTGAAGCGCCCGGAAGCGGAGCCGGGCCAAAGGAGACGCGGAGGCACTTTCGGCACTTTCCTCGCTCTCCAAGAGCTCCAGGGTCTCGCCAACACTCACCTCGGGCTTTCGGGCTTCTGCTTCTTTCTCTGTTTTGCTGTCGCTTTAAGGCTGAGCCACTAAGGGTCCTGATGATAGCACTGCGCCACCTACGCCCATCAGTTTGGAACAGGCCTCACCTTCCTGATGGGCTTGCAGTTTGTCAGGTCGAAGTCCTGGGTCATGGCGATCACGGACTTGCAGACGTAGTACCTTCGATGCCGTGGCCCTTGCCTACGGAAGAGAGACAAAGTTGAGCATGGTGAAAGGATTGAGGTGTAGAGTCCGTGGGCTGCAGCTCTAGAGCTGCAACCTCGAAGCGCCGAAAGGGTTCAGGCTTTAATCATAAACCTCAAGTTACACTGCACTGAACCCTGGAGCATCAACCATCTCATGCTCCACGGTGCCGATCGCTGGGCGCCGGTTTATCGGAAAGCTCCTGAGAAAGAGAGCCACAACCCCTCTGCGGCTTCGGAGCAAGGCGAGCAGTCCCAGGGTTCAGGGTCGACGAGCACACTGATTACCCGATACGCCGCAGAAGCCCGATGCAAGCACACTCCTGCAGACAGATGAAGCCTTGTGCCGCATCCTTACATGCGGCGCCCCTCAAGAAGAGCTTTGTCTCGGGGGCAACCTGCAAAACAGAGCCGGGCTGAGAGAGCTTGCGGGTTGATGGCGCTTAGGTTTCACAGGACATCGCGGTTTGTGCGGCTAGGTTTTCGACGGTGTAGTAGCGTCTTTGACATGTCAGGTTTAGGGCAGGGGTCTTTAGCGAGCCACGACAGCCAATAGCCACAACAACCGCAAACCGCCTCTAAGAGATTCGGGCCGCCTACGGCCCGTTTGTAGGAGGACACCGCCCGTAGCGCGCCTCGCGGGGCCCTTCGAGGAGCTCCAACTTCTCCCCGGCCTCGGCTCCACGGCGTTTGCGGCGGCGGCTGCTCCGTTGCTCTAAGAGCTTAAGGAAGGTTTCTAAGCCCCGCAGGGCCCCTTAGTTGGCCAGGGCGGCCGGGGGGGGTCTCGGCAGAGTAGGGCTTGGACTGTAGGGTTTTCCGGCCGCCGAGCGTTGGGAATTCAAGGTTGTGACCAAAGTTCTCGGGTTCAGGTTGGGTTACCTGGCTATGGCGAACCAAGATCGAAAGAAACGCTTAAAGGAAAGCCTGTTGTACAGTAAAGTGTGTTTCAAACCACATGCTTTCAACGGAAACACCATCAGCACCGTCAAACGCAGAGATTCTCTCCGGCCTCCAGGCTTCGGATGGACGCCTCGGCGCCGCTTGCCTCCATGGGCTTCCAGAGTTCCGGGAAAAGGCCTTGGGGGGGCTGGGGCTGCAACTTCAAACGTGGTTGGGCCCAAATCTCGCCCCCCCCTGGCGGCAAGCATGTTCGGGTTGACATTTTTCGGTTCGATTGCTCTGCGAGTTTCAGCGCTTGCGGTACAAGGGCCGTCCTTTCTGATTTCGCACTGAAGGTTCAACGCGGCAGGTGCCGGTGAACGGGGCCGAGTCAGAACGACGTTCCAGGTGCGTATGAAATGGGCTTTGACTTGATTCCGCGTGAACGGGCTCCAGAAAAAGGTCGATAGCTTGGGCTTTGGGTTCCTCACATAGAGGACATGACGGACGTTTGGGACTGTAACGAAAACGGGCTACACGCGCACTCACAAACGAACTGAGACCTGTCTTGGCAGGTCTAGGCAGCTTACGCCGGCTTATCTGCGTGACATGTTCCATACTGTGGGTCTCTGAATCATCCTACGGTCCTGAGCGATGGGTCTTCCACCTTGTGGTCATGGGGCTTGGGTTTGGGATTGTCATTATGATTTGCGGCGCTCAGGTAGGGTTCCGTGGTGGTTTGTTTAGGCTGAGGCATGGTGGTTATGGTTTCGCTAGATGATGACATGGAGATGGTAAGTGCTATGTAGCCGACAGATGGGGCATGCAGCATCCCGAAAACCACTGATGGGGCACTTCTTGCGATGAATAACGACAGAAGCCAAGTCTTACTCACTCCTTATCCTACTCCTTATAGACCCACATATGAATGCAGAAGTTTATTTCCCAATAGCTTGCTCAGATTCTGACATTCCCCCAAACTTGTGCAAGGGTTCCTGGGATTCCCTAAAGCCCTAAACCCTTCCTCGCCCGCGCTGCCCATCACAACCAAGAAAAACTCAGGCCTCTCGCAGTTCCGTGGCGCTGCTGGCCACTAGGAAAGGCTTTTCCCGCGGCTTCCTCAAAGAGCCGAGAAGCAACAATCGGTTGGCAATTAACAACTCTCTTCACAAGATGGAAAACAACTTGTTTCCCGTCCCTCCTCGTCCCTCCTCGTCCCTCCTCCTCCTCCTCTTTCCTCCTCTTCTCCTCCTCTTCCCCCGCCTCCCCGTTCTCTTCTTCTCCCCCTGCTCCTTCTCCTCCTGCTCCTCCTCTCCCTCCTCCCGCTCCCCACTTCTTCTTATTCTTCTTCTACTACTTCTACTACTTCTACTACTACTTCTGACGACGACTGCCAGTAGTCTTTCTATTATGTATCACCGCTATGGCCAAATAGTATTATGGTATTGTGGGTGTGGGTACTCTTGTTTAGAGGCGAGCATTGGACGAGCTTGAAAGCTTTCATGAAGACTGCACAATGCAAGTAATTACCATGGTGAAGTGTTCAACAACAAGGCCGTCCACAAAGCCTGGGAACGTCAGAAACTCAACCGTACACCATATCCCCAGCAAGAGCCCTTCCTCTGAAGAACCTCTAGTCAACAAACATCTCGGCACCACAACTGAAATACTGCCAAGGCACAGGAATGCGGTCCCCTGGTTGCCCTTGATCGTGACCTGAAATCATGTAGCTCAGTCTCTTTTGCAACCCCATCGACATCTATAAGCCTCATGGGGGGGTTGTCCTAACTTTCGAGTAAGACAGCTATAAGCCAGCACAGAGCCCATCAAACACGGTATCCTTCGCGTACGACACAGTGCAAATGGATTATGGCTTGCAGATGGATTATGGCCTGCAGACCTTGTTTACGGGCTCCTCCAAGGTGTTATGTCTCGGCGACACGAACGTGCTCCACTCGAAGCCTCGTGTCCCAGCTATGTGTCCACACCTCATAGAAGCCTAAGACCCGAATGCCCCGACAGCACCTAGACTTATCTGCACCGGATGCTTCTGGCAAGCCCCAGCTCTGTGGCCGCGGCCCAGCCCTCTGCCGCGTCCTTCAGTGCTCGGCAGCGCACTCGGCGGACTTTGGACTCCTCGTCCTGACTGGAACAAGCTCTTCGCGAGGTTTTGGACATTGGACCGATATCCAACATTATCATGACTATCATCATCAGCAGCAGCAGCGCGACAGTCGACAGTACCAGCATCATCCGGCATCACTGCCACCGCATCCCCGCCAGAAGCGACCGCCACCTCCACCATCATGCTACTAGTTACTAGTGTAGCTTCTGGTTGTCAGCAGGGTCCGAGCCGTACCACAATGCAGGAACATCCATCCATCCATCCATCCATCCATCAGCCTCAGCCTTTCCTGTTCCTCCCACGTCCCAATCCCAACCGCTCGACCACCGCCTTTCCCAGTCGTACTTGAAGCAAAACAAGCATGGCATTTGAGCTGCAGTCCCCGGGATCGACTCGGTCCTCTTCTGGGCCCGCCAGGACCTCCACCAGCTCCGACGTCCTGGGAAGTCGGTCTTTGAGCTTCTGGGGATGAGGGCAGTTTCGGGGTTTAGGCTGGATTTTCTCCGAGTCGCCCTTCGGAAAGACAGAGCCCCACAGCCCGGAAAATACACCCCTCACCCACAGGTATAGCGTCCTATGCCGTCTATACCTGAATCCTGAACGCCACCTTGGTCCCCGAAGCCAGCAACCCTGCGTTTTCGGACCGGGCATCTGTATCTTGCGGACCGTCGACGAGGAGGAGATCGTGAAACCCTCGGTCATGGCCACTTCGCGAATGCAGGTTGCGTACTCCTCGGCGTCGCGATTATTGACTAGTTGACGAAGACAGTACAATTTAATAGCTAAGTTGATTCACCAACTAACATTGTTTGGGGAGGCCAAGTACTTGATTTATCAACCAAGCGAGCAAGCAACCAACCAACCGTGTAGCCAACTAGCCGACTAACCAACTGCACAGCCAACAAAGTTATTGCATGTTTATATACATGTATGTATGTCTGTATGTAGGTATGTGCGTATGTACGTATGCATGTATGCATGTATGTATGTGTGTGTGTGTGTGTACGTGTACGTACGTGTATGTAAAGGTATGTGTGTATGCATACCTATGTATACCATGTATCTCAATGTATATCTGTTTATATATCTGTACGTCTTTGTAAGTACATGTATGTAGAGTTAAATGTATGTATAAGCATGTCTATGCATGTCTATGTATGTCTTTGTATGTCTATGTATGTTTATGTGTGTGCTTGTATGTATGCGTGTGTACACGCATGTATCTGTATGGATATGCGTGTATGTATGTACGTACATGGATCGATGGACGGATGTGCGTGTGTACGTGTGTATGCATGTGGATTTGTATGTGTATATGTATGTGTATTTGTATGTGCATATGTATGTGCATATGCATGTGTATGCATGTATCTTATGTATGTGTATATACGTATGTACATATATATATATACTACATAGATGTCTTTGCGTGATTGCATCTCCTTCCAATGTATACGCACATGCATACCCATGGAACTAGTGGATATGTATGTGGGTATATGTATATATACCTAACGACAGCTATATATATATATATATATATATATACATATGTATATATATATATACATATATATATACACATGTACATACGTGTGTCTGTGTGTGTGCCTGTGTATATACATATAAACATGAAGACACATAAACAAACAAACATAAAAACTGAACTTACCAATGTGAGAAACAACTAACAATTAAAAAAGCACACACACATAATCATGTAAATGCATATATCTGCACATACAAACTTATACACATATACACATACATACATGTACTCATCTACATTCACACATACAACATATTCAACTATTCACACATAAAAACATATCTACCTATTTACATTTGTACATATCCATATCTACACCCACACATAAAAACACATACACCTATATACGTATATACATGTACACATATACACATGTACACATATGATTACACATATACACATACACACATATACATGTGTACACATATACACATATACAAAAGTACACAAGTACACCAATACCCATATTCACATATTCATATGTGCACATATACGCATATACACATATACACAAACACTCCCATACTCATACACACATCATACAAGCTTATACCCATTTATACATAAGAACAAAAATACATGTGTACATATACACATACATACATAAATAACTGTATAAATATATACATATGTAAAAACTTCATATATCCGGATATACAGATATACACCTATATTATAGACACATATAGGCACATAGACATATACATATACACATGTACACATATACATATAGACATATATATATATATATATTTACATTTATATATATTTATTTATTTATACCTTTGAGAATGAAGCCCCAAGCCACCTCCAAGGCCCTCAACCTTTACGGAAAATTCCCGAGACGCCCGGGCCCAAAACCAAAGCCTCAACAATCCCCGCAAAGTCATCGAAGAGTCCTGGACGGCCTTGAAAAAGGCCGGCCGGCTCATGCCCTCTTTCCCAGCAAACTCCCGGTACAAGAGCGCGACCTGCTCCTGCTGGGGCTTAGTGCAGCTCAGCCTGTCAAACGCAGGGCACCCTGTATTAAGTTTCGGGTTCAGAGCTCGAAAGGTGAAGCTTCTCTGGAAGTGACATTGGGTCCTGCTGTGGGCTGTAGGTTTCTGAGCCTCTACGATTCTACGATGCGTTCCCCACATGAAACGTCCTGCGTCAGGTCAGCTGTCAAGCCGGAGGCATACGCTTGGAACTCAGGCAGGGAAAGCTGCTCCGCGTCTCCCTTCAGGGCGCTTTCAAAGGCCGCATCGCGGGTGATGCCTTGCTTTCGAAATGCGGTCCTTCCGGCGCCGTTTGGGCAAACGATTCTGAGTTGCAGGATTCAGGGCTCCAAGACACATAGGTCTGGGCTCAGAGCTGGGTGGCTCAGGCATAAGGGGTACAGGGCTTACAGGGCTTTTTCTTGCTCCTACATTGGGGCTGCGGAAACGTTCGGAGGTCCAAAAACCGACTGACTAAACCTCGAACCCAAATTGGAAGTTTAGAACACCCGCCAAGTAATGAAAATGCCGCAAGACATGCAACATGGCTCCTCAAGACATTCTTCGCCTGGAAGAGGATGGTTTTGATCACCTGGCGCTTGCTTGTCGGGTTGTTTTCGGGTGTTCGGGGTCTTCGTCTTCGGGCCTTTTAGGGTTTGATCAAGGCCTCGTCCCGTCCCAAAGTGTCAAGACAATTCTGCTCTGAATGAAATCGAACTCCTGCTCTGCGGCCCACCTGTGCATGCGCCTCTCGCAAAGCCTCCGTGCGGCTCTGGCAATTCCTCGGGAGCCCGTCCGAATGAAGTGAAGGTTGAAAGCAGCTTCGGACATTGCAGACGTTTGGGGCCGTGTAGGATTTGTTCGGCCTTGGAGGAAGCAAAATCAACAGAACTTCGGTTCTTCCCCGCAGAACCTCAAGCGTTAATGTCGGAGACTTGCCAGCAATGTTCATAAAAATTCACTGCAACCTGAGTAGAACTGCATTCTCTGTGCCATCTACCCCAAACCCCATCTGAGCCTACCCTGACATGACACTAGACCACATTTTCACACACAGTCACACCGGAGTACACTAGATTTGGCACATTCCACCAAACCACACCACACTACACCGCACTGTGCTGCACTGCACTACACTTGGCTGCACTTCACGATGAGCATGGCCCCCACCCCCACCCCACCACCGCAACCACAACTACGACACAACGACCACAACAACCACAGCCACAACCACAACAGCAGCAGCAACAACAACAACAACAAGGGCCCGGCCCAACCCCTTGGCTGTGGAGTGCATATAGATTGGTGTAGAGTTACAGTAGTTTATATTATGATGTCGGGTTTGCCTCTGGGGTTGCGGGACTTTGCTCCAGGGTTGAAGGGGCTCGAGATACTTGCAGGGCAGGCTTCGCCAGCTCTTTGTGGGCAGCGGTAACGCGGGCCCTCGGATCGTCTGAGAGATTGAAAGCGTAAGGCTCCAGGGTTCAGGATTCAAGGTTCATCCAGGGGCAGGCGTTGGAATGGGTTTTCGGACTGCTTTGGGGTGCGTTTTACGTACTCCAAGTGCCTGCGGATTCAACCAGGGATCTCTCTGACCACGGGGCCAATCTCGCGGGCTTGAATTTGAGGTTGGGGGAATTCTGAGAGGGATGCTGCGTGGCTGCCTGAACCCCTGAACTCCCGGACAGAACAGCCTGAGTACCTTAATCCCACGGTGTCGGGGGCGGCACTGAATCTTGGACAAGTCGTCCAGGAACGGCTTGCGCTGCGCCTGACGGGCATTTGGACCCGACCCTCTCGACCTCTTGAAGGAACGGAATGTCGAGTTTCGCTTACAGCCTGAGCCCTCAACGGCAACACTTGGAGTTTACCGTTTGAGATTCAGGGAGAGCCTTGATGCCAGTAGGGTTTGATGTGGTTTGAGGTGCGGGCTTCGCGGGCGGAGCAGGAGCAGGAGCAGGAGCAGCAGCTAGAGCAGGAGCGGCAGCGGCGGTAGCCGCGGCGGCGGTAGCGGTGGCGGTAGCGGTGGCGGTGGCGGTAGCGGTGGCGGTAGCGGTGGCGGTAGCGGTGGTGGCGGTGGCGGAAGTGGTGGCGGTAGCGGTGGCGGTAGCGGTGGCGCTGGCCGTGGCGGTAGTGGTGGCAGCGGCGGTAGCGGCGGTGGCGGTAGCGCTGGCGGCAGCGATGGCGGTAGCGGTGGTGGTAGTGGTGGCGGTAGTGGTAGCGGTGGCGATTAGCGGTGGCGGTATAGCGGTGGCGGTAGCGGCGGTAGAGGCGGTAGCGGCGGTAGCCGCAGTAGCCGCAGTAGCAGCGGCAGCAACAGCGGCAGCAGGACCAGCAGCAGCAGTAGCAGCAGTAGCAGCTACAGCAGCAGCAGGAGCAGCAGGAGCAGCAGCCGTGGCCGTGGCCGTGGCCGTGGCAGTAGTAGTAGTAGTAGTAGCAGCAGCAGCAGTAGTAGCAGTAAATAGTAGGAGTAGGAGTACGAGTAGTAGTAGTAGGAGTAGGAGTAGGAGCAGGAGCAGGAGCAGGAGCAGGAGCAGGAGGAGGAGGAGTAGTAGTGGTAGTAGTGGTAGTAGTGGTAGTAGTGGTAGTAGTGGTAGTAGTGGTAGTAGTGGTAGTAGTGGTAGTAGTGGTAGTAGTGGTAGTAGTGGTAGTAGTGGTAGTAGTGGTAGTAGTGGTAGTAGTGGTAGTAGTGGTAGTAGTGGTAGTAGTGGTAGTAGTGGTAGTAGTGGTAGTAGTGGTAGTAGTGGTCTCGGGGAAGCGCATGTATACAGTGCATGCAAAATACCTGACACTGCACTGCACTAGAGGGGCTACCTGACAGTACATTAGAGTGCAGCACATGCTTTCACATCTACAAGTGAGAGAGAGCGAGAGAGAGATACACAGATAGATACATAAATGGACAGGTGAACCAAATAAGTAGACAGCTAGATCGCTAGTCAGATAGATAAATGGGTAGATACACAGACAGAGAGAGAGAGAGAGAGAGAGAGAGAGAGAGATAGAGAGAGAGATGAAGAGAGAGATAGAGAGAGAGAGAGAGGCAGAGCAGATGAGGACACGGAGGGCGGAGGGAGCACGAGAGTGTGGAGGTGGACCAAGTGCTCTGCACCGCAGATCCGCCTCCGCAAGCGTCCTCGCTTCCGTCACGCGCTGGTTCAGAAACTTCTTGCAGTCGGTGAGCAACGTCTGCAGGCTATGCAGTTTGCAGTTTATAGCTGGGGTTTTCAGGTTTTGGCTCTTGGGAAACCCTAGAGCCTTGCAGTTCGTGAGTGTCAGCGACGGGTTTCCTGTGTCTGGGACCTAGGACTTTTAGTGTTGAAGGTTTGGGGTCTGGCTCGAAAACCTGAAAACCTGAACCCCAAAGCCCCAAAACTAGTCGGCCTCGGCCCGCTTCTCCTCTTGGCTAATCTCCTCGACAACCGCTCGTGCCTGGCCGTGCGCATTTTTCACTGAATTCATGCTGATTCTGGGGGGAGCCAACGAGACTAGAGGTTCTGCAAGAGCTTAAGTGCTATTTAACAAGGCTCGGGATAGGGCGCGCAGTCCTTGCAGCGGAAACACATGAGTACAGGAACACGAATACTACTGGTGAAGCTCCTGCAACGTGATTGCACCATAGTTCAATGATACCCGGATTGTGCAATAACATGTACATTGGCATAATACATTGTAACTAGCAAGCTCCGTTGAAGAGTGTATCCTAAAGCCGGATTTTGAGTTTAGGATTGAAAGTTTAGGACGAACTCCTCACCTAAATTCTATGTTATCACTCCCTGCCTCTGGGCTACTGAGCTGCGTGAGGCTATCGTCGGAGAAGGGCTGCATCAGCGAAGTCAGCTTCGCGACCTCGGGGCTCGAAGTTGATATGAATTCAGGGTGGGGGCCTACAAGTAGAAGGCAGTGGTGGGGCCAGCTTGGGGTATATGGTATCTTCAGCTTGGACTTATTGCTGTGTGTTCATCTTTTGGTAGGCTTTGAATAGGGGACGTCGAGACGTTACTGCAACCGTACAATTCCGCTACAGCCCAAGTCCTGTCGACAATACTCTGCAATCCTGAACGAACTCACAGACGCCGCTCTCAGGCTTTGTGGCTCAACCGCAACACCAAGCCGTGAAATCTGAGACCCCGAAGCACCGACATTCAGGCTCAAAACCAAAACTAAACCCTCAACTCTCGATGCCTGCTCAAACAACCATCCCACACGTCAATTTGTCAATCTCAAAACTCGACACCGCATCCCAAACCTCGGAAACCCCCATCCGAATTCCCAAAACCACATCCGCTGCAAGCCCTCCAGATCGACTCGCCACCAAACACAGCACCCAAACCCTGACAATGAAACTGAACCCCCAAACATTATAATTATGCCGAAATTGCAACCCTCAACCTCAAAACCTGCCCGGCCCTGGCAAATAAAACTCTTCCGAAAACATCAAAACTAAGCGCTACAGTCCGTGCATGCAACCCCTCAAAGGTCATGGACAAACACCAATCCGAAGGATCGAACTCTTCCCCCACCACACTTGACATCCTCAAACCCCGAACGCATAAAACTTAAAGCCCTAACACAATGTAGAGCTCGGCAAATCTAAAACCCATCCGTTTCCATCGTGTCTCGGAGCCCGGCTGCGGCCTCGACTTCTGCGACTTTCTCCATCGAAGCACCAAGCTGTGCCCCAAGCTGCGCCTGGCGAGTTTGTGGCTTGGGGCGCTGTTGGGGGGTTCGTGGTTTCAGGGGATTTGAAGCCTTGGAGGTTGGGCTCTTGCAGGAGTTCCTTGCAGAGAAATGAGAGCACATTTTGCTCGCATAGGGTTGGTGGAGTACATCTACGGGTTTAGGGCTTTACCGCCCTGTGTCAAGACAATTCTGCTCTGAATGAAATCGAACTCCTGCCCTGTGGCCCACCTGCGCATGCGCCACTCGCAAAGCCTCCGTGCGGCTCTGGCAATTCCTCGGGAGGCTGTCCGAATGAAGTGAAGGTTGAAAGCAGCTTCGGAGGTTGCAGACGTTTGGGGCCATGTAGGATGTGTTCGGCCTTGGAGGAAGCAAAATCAACAGAACTTCGGTTCTTCCCCCCAGAACCTCAAGCCTTTATTAATGTCGGAGCCTTGGCAGATATTTCACAAAAATTCACTGCAACCTGCGTAGAACTGCAATTTCTGTGCCCGATTCTACTTTAGCCTACCTTAGCCTACACTACATGACTCTTGACCACATTACTGTGCCATCCACAAATGTCACACTACAGTGTACTGTACCCTAGATTGAGCGAGATTTCTTTAGATTACACACTCTGCACTACATTACACTACATCACATCAGATTACACTACACTACGCTACGTTGCACTACATTGCGCTACATCACACCACACCGCACCGCGCTGCACTGCCCTGCACTGCGCTACACTTCGCTACACTTCACGATGCTACTGTACCTTACTGTACGTACAATCCAGACATAACATGCATTTTATGCACCTAACATGTATGCACAAAACAGCATAACATAACATATCATGCATGCATTCATACCTCTACCTTACCTTACCCTATCTTACCTGACGTAACAATCCTACACAACACAACACGACACGATATAACAAATAGATCCATCCATCCATCCATCCATCCATCCATCCATCCATCCATCTCTCCCTCCGTCCCCGTGTCCCTCCGTCGCTCCGTCCGTCCGTCCGTCCGTCCGTCCATGCATACACACCTGCATCATCTCTGCACACACATCTGCTTTGCCGCCTTTTCACTTCCAAGTTCCAAGCTCAAGCTCCGGCCGCACCTCCCTCCGACACCCTCCCGAAGTTGAGTACAAAGGCCTAAAGGGCCGGTCATGATGCACCATAGTTGTACTGAACGTGTTGAGAGGAACCGCGTTATTCAACTTAGGCTTCAATGTATAGCGTTCCTCCGCAGCTGTGACGGCTTAGTTCCCTTTACCAGGGCTCGATCCACAATGGCCTTGAGCCAGACCAACAACAACAACAGCCGCACAACAGCTACAACAACTACAGCAACCATAGCCACAACCACGATAGCAGCAGCAACAAGAATAAGGGCCCGACCCCACCCCTCAGCTATGGAGTGCAGTCTGATCATACAGATTGGTCCAGAGTTAGTTTATGAGTTTTAGATGTCGGGCTTGTCTCTGGGGTTGCGGGACTTTGCTCCAGGGTTGAAGGGGCTCGAGACACTTGCAGGGCAGGCTTCGCCAGCTCCACGTGGGCAGCGGTAACGCGGGCCCTCGGATCGGTTGAGAGATTGAAAGCTCCAGGGTTCAGGATTCAAGGTTCATCCAGGGGCAGCCGTTGGAATGGGTTTTCGGACTGCTTTGGGGTGCATTCTACGTACTCCAAGTGCCTGCGGATTCAACCGGGATCTCTCAACATTCTGTCGATTAAGTTTGCTGACTCAGTTCAGTGTTTATACTCCAGGGCTTGCAGTTTCAAGATTTGTGCTGTAGGAGGGCTCGTGTCGTGGGGCTTCGACGAGGTTCACACTTCAGATCTACACCTGTGTTCGAATTGGCAAAAGTCGAGGGTGGAAGATCCACGAATCTAGGGTTCTGTACAGTTGAGGATCAAAAAGAATCCAAACATTCACATCGCCCTTGTGACATGGTCTCACGGGGCCAATCTCGCGGCATGGGGTCTGTCAGGAGCGGGAATTTCCGGTTGGGGGAATTCTGAGAGGGATGCTGGGTGGCTCCCGGACAGAACAGCCTGAGTACCTTAATCCCGACACTGCGGGCGGCACTGAATCTTGGACAAGTCGTCCAGGAATGGCTTGCGCTGCGCCTGACGGGCATTTGGACACGACCGTCTCGACCTCTTGAAGGAACGGAATGCCGAGTTTCGCTTACAGCCTGAGAGCCCTCAACGGCAACACTTGGAGTTTACCGTTTGAGATTCCGGGAGAGCCGTGATGCCAGTAGGGTTTGAGGTGGTTTGAGGTGCGGGCTACGCAGCTTTGCTGTTCGACCCAGCTATTTAAGCTATTTCTCACGAGGCTGAGGATTCAGCGCCTGGCTTTGTCTGCGAGATATGGCCCAAAACATTGCAAAGAGTGAGAACGCAGAGCCCAGAGCCTACAACATGAGCTCCACACCCCCAAGCGCCCGTAATGTCTGGAACCTAGCCGTGTAGGATTAAGGTCTGTGAGATTTGGCTGTTGAAAATATCGCACGTGTATACTCCATCCATGTACATAGAAGGACACAAAAATGCATGCATGTCTGGCATACATTTCTACACCCGCGTATAGCACGTGCGTGTATATATATATATATATACATATATATATATATTATATGTATGTAATATGTTGGTAGTGGCAGTAGCAGTAGCAGTAGCAGCCGCCGTCGCAGTAGGAATAGTAGTAGTAGTGGGAGCAGTAGGAGTAGGTGAAGGAGTAGGAGCAGGAGTAGGAGAGCAGCAGCAGCAGCAGTTGTTGTTGTGGTGGTAGTAGTAGCAGTAGCAGTAGCAGTAGCAGCAGCAGTAGCAGTAGCAGCAGCAGTAGCAGTAGCAGGCACATAGATAGCCAGGTAGATAACTTGAATACTTAGATAGCCAGATCGATAGGCAGATAGATTGATAGAAGGGAGACAGATAGACACACAGACACAGATAAATAGATAGACAAAAAAGGATAGACGGATGATAGGTAGATTCAGAGGAATAGGAATAGAGAGAGAGACACGGAGAGAGAGAGAGAGAGAGAGAGAGGCAGAGCAGATAAGCGCACGCAGGGCGGAGGGAGCACGCACGAGAGTGTGGAATGAGTTCAAGTGCTCTGCACCGCAGATCCGCCTCCGCAAGCGCCTTCGCTTCGGTCACGCGCTGGTTCAGAAACTTCTTGCAGTCGGTGAGCAACGTCTGCAGGCTATGCAGTTTGGAGTTTATAGCTGGGGTTTTCAGGTTTTGGCTCTTGGGAAACCCTAGAGCCTTGCAGTTCGTGAGTGTCAGCGACGGGTTTCCTGTGTCTGGGACCTAGGACTTTTAGTGTTGAAGGTTTGGGGTCTGGCTCGAAAACCTGAAAACCTGAACCCCAAAGCCCCAAAACTAGTCGGCCTCGGCCCGCTTCTCCTCTTGGCTAATCTCCTCGACAACCGCTCGTGCCTGGCCGTGCGCATTTTTCACTGAATTCATGCTGATTCTGGGGGGAGCCAACGAGACTAGAGGTTCTGCAAGAGCTTAAGTGCTATTTAACAAGGCTCGGGATAGGGCGCGCAGTCCTTGCAGCGGAAACACATGAGTACAGGAACACGAATACTACTGGTGAAGCTCCTGCAACGTGATTGCACCATAGTTCAACGATACTAGTACCCAAATTGTACAATAATATAATGTACACTTGCATAATACACGCTCCGTTGGAGGGTGTATCCTAAAGAGCGCAGCTGTAGAGTTTAGGATTTAGGATTGAAAGGCGGACCAGGACGAACTCAACACCTCAATTCTATGTTCTCACTCCCTGCCTCTGGGCTACTGTCCGAGAAGGGCTGCATCATCGCAGCCAGCTTCGCGACCTCGGGGCTCGAAGTTCAGAAGAATTCCCTTTGGGGGCCCAGGAGGAGGTGGGGCCAGCTTAGGGTGTACGGCGGGACTGGGGAGCTTGTGACAGGAGTGGCGGGGTGATGATACTCTGCAATCCTGAAAGAACTCACAGACGCCCCTCTGCGGGTTTGTGGCTCAACCTCCACACCAAACCGTGAAATCTGAGACCCCGTATTCAGGTTCCGAACTAAACCTAAGCCCTCAACCCTCGATGCCTGCTTCCGCTGGGCCTCCAAAGCCACACGGGGATAGACCCGGACCAAACTAGCATAAACTAGCATCCCGCACCGCAATTTGTGAAAGTCTAAACTCGACACCGCATCCCAAGCAAGCCCTCCAGATCGACTCGGTAGCGAAAGTGCCAAACCCAGCACCCCCAAACCCTGAAAAAAACTGAACCCCCAAACATTACGCCCAAATCGCAGAACCTCCTCTCCCCTGGTAGAAAAAAACCTTCCAACAACATCAAAACTAAGACCTACAATCCGTTACAACCGTGCAAAGCCTCAAAGATCATGGACAAGCACCAACCCGCAGGCCCGAACTCTTCCCCCACCACACTTGACATGCTCAAACCTCGAACGCATAAAACTTAAAGCCCCATAAGCTGCGCAAATCTAAAACCCATCTATTTCCATGGTGTTGTGCAGTGTCGGCTCGGAGCCCGGCTGCGGCCTCGACCTGTGCGACTTTCTCGATCGAAGCTCCAAGCTGTGCCTGGCGAGAGGGCCGCTTTTGATTCCAGCTTTGGTGGTTTGGGTGGTTGTTGGGGGGTTGTTTGGGGGTTGTGTTGGAGCTTGGGCTGTTGCAGGGTTTGTTGCACAGGCTGAGAGCAGCACGTTGGCTCAGTCCGCTGCCCGCATAGGGTTGGTGGTGCGATGTGGTGCGTCGCTACGGGTCTGGGGCTCGGGGTTTTGAGGCTCTGGGTGGTGAGTTTGCATTCAAGGCATCTGGTGTTGGGTTGGGTCGTGGATTCTGTAATTTGGGGTACACGCTTCAGGGTTTCAAGGCAAAGTCGAAGGGGACTGGGATCACCCATCGGCCCAGGGTTCATTGGGCGCACGCGACGCCAAGGCTTCTGCGCTCGAAGACAACTTGACTCGTGTGCGACCAGTCTTGCTCGCCCAAATGCGCAGATCTTCGGGCTTAGGCTTCAGCGACATCTTGAAGCGCAAAGCCTAAACCTTCGATCCAAAGAAACAAGCCTTAAAAGCCCATGTTAGAACATCACAGGGCCAATGGCACATGCCTTGCGTTTTCTGTCGGCAGTCTCCTTCCCGCGAGGAAGTTCGGAGCGGGGCTCGGGACTGACACTCTTGGGACTCGGGGACCTTGAGAGTAGAGAGGAGCAAGCCGAAGGTGGCTTGTAGTAGTGCTTCATGGTATCGAAGCTCTGAGGTTGAAGTTTCAGGGGCGGGCTTTCTCAGATAGGATTTACGGTTTGGGAGCTATGAGTCCACGCCCTCTAGGCCTCTAGGGCTATTAAACAGGGGAGGGACGCGAGGGTTTACCGTTCAAGCTGCGAAGCTGCACAGCTGCCATGATCACGGGATTGCCGGCTACGGCCCAGGGGTCTGTGCTTTGTCGATACTTCACGAATCAGGTGCTGGGGCTTTGGGCAATACACTTCCAGGCAGCCCTGGCAAGCAGCAGAAGCAGTGACGAGAAGAGAAGCGGCAATGTAAGTTCGCAATGGTTTGGCCCCTCCCGCCGCTCCAGCCTCAATCAACGTCACCCAGACTTCCTTCGTGTCGGCATCCCAAGCACTCCAGTCCAACACTAAACCGCAAAGCTCTGAACACAGAGGTCCCGGAAAGGGGCCAAGGCCCTCTTGTCGCCTTCTTCAACTCGGAGAGCTTCCCGGCCATGCCATCTAAGCGCTTCTGGAGCAGGAGCAGGTCCTGAAAGCCGAGGCTTTCTGCAGCCAGGCATTCTCCCACCACTGCCGGCTCCCATACCGCGGCTCCATTCGAGGAGCCCGTCTACCCCTCCCCGGCTCCGGGGTTCAGGGCTTGGTTTGGGGGGTGGTTGCGGCTTTGGGATTTCGTGCTGGGGATTCATCAGGGTTTGAGGGTTGGGGGGTTGAAAGGTTAAGACTTGTCGCCCTAACAGTGTGAGTCAAAATAGATAGCGGCGGAAACTGCCTTAATCGCTGTAAAAGCCAACCAAAAGTTAGATGGTCACGAGTCATTAGAAATAGTGATGGAATTTTGGGCAACCCCCATGAGGAGACTGAACCGCTAACGCCCGCTGGAGCCCTAAACCCGCGAACCGACAACCCTGCATTCACAGCATCCCAGCTTCTTCTAGTTAGAATTTCCTGCAGTGCTTGGCTTCGGCTTAAGGACTTCGGGCTCGAGTGTTTGCACAGTTGCAGGGCTCAGATGTTGAGGCCAACACAGCTCTCGGAGTTCGATGAGTCTACGCCTCGGTATCCCACCCGATCCGAGCTTGATCCCACCCACCGGAAGCCGGAATCCTCGGGGTCCCTGAACCCGAAGTTCCACACCCGAATCAGCCCCACAGGCGAAACCTCTGGACCCAACCCTCTGAATGCTAGAAGCCCCACGAGAAAGGGACTAGCACGTCTCAAGACCTGAACTCGAAAAGCCATCCCTAAACTTTGCACTGTACACTGCCAGGAAGTTTCCCAAAAGCCGTCCGAGGCCTTTGTGCAGAACTCCTCGGCGCCGGCGAACTCCTTGGCGGCCGCGAGGTTCTGCAGCGTCACAGCTCGGGCCTCGGTGGACTCACACGCAGCGCAGTTCTCTCCGCGTGTGTGTTTTCCGTGAGTTTGGGTTTGGAAGTTCGGGGGCGTTTAGACTTTTCGGGGTGGGGGTGTGGCTTTTCAGGTGGGATGGGTCTCTTTTTGGTCAAGGGTTTAGGAGTTTAGGGCTTTGGGGTCGCATTCCAGGGTTGAGGGCGTTCCTGGGACACCTTCACCTTGCCGGAGCGGGCAGCTGAGTCGTTAGTTGATCACTGCTGGATGCAAAGCCTTCCGGGAAGAAGCAGCGCAACGACCCCTTGAAGTGAACCGTGCGAGTCGACCAAGTTAGGACCTTAGGAAGAGCCACTGCAAAGGGTCGTCGTCAGGCTCTTGGCTTTAGAAGACTTCCCACGGATTCGATGGTTGGAGTGCTCAAGGTTAGGATCCTCAAGCCGACCCTCGAGCTCGAGCACCCTCTTAAAACAATAAAACACGAAGAAACAAACCAAATCTCTCTGGAAAGGGTCCGTTTCTGGGCCCCCGGCATCGGTGATCGCCTTCTGCGCCACTGCCGCTGCCGCCTCTGGCGCTCGATTTTCTTATGCTTTCCAGGCGGAGGCCCTCGATTTTGGCTTTCGCACCTGCTCTGGGGCTTCAGTTTCACCACAAAAGCGAAATTGGAGCTGGATAACCTTGAAGCTTGACCCTGCCCTAAACCCGCAACCCGACAACCTTCAGCGCTGAAACCTTAAACCCCAAAATTAAAAGCATCTGGAGCCGCCAGCCTCGCAGTCTGCCACGGCCTTCTGGGTTTCGGCAGAGGACAACGCCTCTCAGAAGCGTGACTTGAAGACTTGAGGCTGCGGAGCCTAAAAGCGTGGTTCGCCTGGGTTCGACGTGTGGCGGAAGGTGGCTTTTTTTAGAGTCTAGAGTCCAGAGGCAGCAGTTTCAGAAAATTGGGTGCTCGGTTTTCCCGACAGGCCCATTGACTCCTGCCGTGTGACCGTACGAATCGTCGCCACTCCAAGTTCCATTGAACCTAGCTCCACATCAGCCCGATGCCGCCTCGGTACCCTTGAGGAAAGGCAGCTCTGCTTCCGAGGCCTTCAAGACAGCAGAAGACTTTCATTGCTGTGATCGTGGCGTCATCTTTGATTTCCAATAAAAATCCCACTACGATTCTGTACTGACCACGACGACGACGACTTCTTACTACTCCTTACTGTTTGCTTTTTACGACCCACGACCTACGACCGACAACCTGTGACTTGCGACACCCCACCTACAGTACTCCTTACGACAAACCACGTTTGACTCCTGGTTGACGCCATACGACCTATTATGTTTACGACCTACTAGTCATTGATTGCAAGCATTACATACTGCGTAAAATAACTACTCCCTGCTGCTGCTGCTGCTGCTACTACTACTACTACAACTACTACTACTACTACTACTACTACTACAACTACTACTGCTACTACTACTACTACGACTACTACTACTACTACTACTACTACTACTACTACTACTAGTACTACTGCTACTGCTACTGCTACTGCTACTGCTACTGCTACTGCTACTGCTACTGCTACTGCTACTGCTACTGCTACTACTGCTGCTAGTGCTAGTGCTAGTGCAAGTGCAAGTGCTGGTGCTGGTGCTGGTGCTGGTGCTGGTGCTGGTGCTGGTGCTGGCGCTGGCGCTGGCGCTGGCGCTGGCGCTGGCGCTGGCGCTGGCGCTGGCGCTGGCGCTGGCGCTGGCGCTGGCGCTGGCGCTGGCGCTGGCGCTGGCGCTGGTGCTGGTGCTGGTGCTGGTGCTGGTGCTGGTGCTGGTGCTGGTGCTGGTGCTGGTGCTGCTAGTGGTGCTAGTGCTGCTAGTGCTGCTAGTGCTGCTAGTGCTGCTAGTGCTGCTAGTGGTGCTAGTCGTGCTAGTCGTGCTAGTCGTGCTAGTCGTGCTAGTCGTGCTAGTAGTGCTAGTAGTGCTAGTAGTGCTAGTAGGCTAGTAGTGCTAGTAGTGCTAGTAGTGCTTGTAGTGCTAGTAGTGCTAGTAGTGCTAGTAGTGCTAGTAGTGCTAGTAGTGCCAGTAGTGCTAGTAGTGCTAGTAGTGCCAGTAGTGCTAGTAGTGCTAGTAGTGCTAGTAATGCTAGTAGTGCTAGTAGTGCTAGTAGTGCTAGTAGTGCTAGTAGTGCTACTGTGGATGGAGGAAATCTTGCACCACTTTTAAGATATGTTAGTTAGCTTCACCCCTTCCCCCCTTCTTAACATTGCTATGAACACGGGGATTTACAAAATCGTTCCAATGACATAAATCTTGCACCGCCCCAAGTGGTCTGTCGTCAATGTTAAGAAGGGGGCGCGGGGTTGTTGCTTGGATGTGTATTCGAAACAAGATGTGTAGGTGGTGCAAGATTTCCTCCATCCACCGACTCGAGTAATGACGTTTCTAGAGGCTCGTGATATGACGTTTCTAGAGGGTCGTGACATGGTGCGTGACGTACTTGTGTGGCTTGCCATGAAATGCCATTGCAGCAAAATCTGAATCGCCGTATAGTATAGCAGCGTCCATGTCGCTGTCTTCGCTAATGGAGCCATGCAGCCCTGACAGTGCATCTTGCGCAGCAGCCAGGTCATTCTAAAATCGCAAGAATTCCACAACTTTGCTACATTTGGTAGGAATTTGCAGTTAACGTACAGTCAACGTTCAGTCAACGTTCAGTCAACGTTACAGTCAACGTTCCAGTTAACGTTGCGAAAATGCTGGCAGGGGCAGCATTTTGGAGTTTTCAAGCATAAAAAGCAAGAAATACATGTATTTCTTGCTTTTTATGCTTGAAAACTCCAAAATGCTGCCCCTGCCAGCATTTTCGCAACGTTAACTGGAACGTTGACTGTAACGTTGACTGAACGTTGACTGAACGTTGACTGTGACTTCTATGCAACGTTGCCCTGACTGGAAGTATCTGCAAGCCATGTAGGAAAGCCACGAGCAGGCCAAAGCTAGACCCCGCTCTGGGGACGACTCGAGTAATGACGTTTCTAGAGGCTCGTGATATGACGTTTCTAGAGGGTCGTGACATGGTGCGTGACGTACTTGTGTGGCTTGCCATGAAATGCCATTGCAGCAAAATCTGAATCGCCGTATAGTATAGCAGCGTCCATGTCGCTGTCTTCGCTAATGGAGCCATGCAGCCCTGACAGTGCATCTTGCGCAGCAGCCAGGTCATTCTAAAATCGCAAGAATTCCACAACTTTGCTACATTTGGTAGGAATTTGCAGTTAACGTACAGTCAACGTTCAGTTAACGTTCAGTCAACGTTACAGTCAACGTTCCAGTTAACGTTGCGAAAATGCTGGCAGGGGCAGCATTTTGGAGTTTTCAAGCATAAAAAGCAAGAAATACATGTATTTCTTGCTTTTTATGCTTGAAAACTCCAAAATGCTGCCCCTGCCAGCATTTTCGCAACGTTAACTGGAACGTTGACTGTAACGTTGACTGAACGTTGACTGAACGTTGACTGTGACTTCTATGCAACGTTGCCCTGACTGGAAGTATCTGCAAGCCATGTAGGAAAGCCACGAGCAGGCCAAAGCTAGACCCCGCTCTGGGGACTGTGGATGGAGGAAATCTTGCACCACTTTTAAGATATGTTAGTTAGCTTCACCCCTTCCCCCCTTCTTAACATTGCTATGAACACGGGGATTTACAAAATCGTTCCAATGACATAAATCTTGCACCGCCCCAAGTGGTCTGTCGTCAATGTTAAGAAGGGGGCGCGGGGTTGTTGCTTGGATGTGTATTCGAAACAAGATGTGTAGGTGGTGCAAGATTTCCTCCATCCACCGTAGTAGTGCTAGTAGTGCTAGTAGTGCTAGTAGTGCTAGTAGTGCTAGTAGTGCTAGTAGTGCTAGTAGTGCTAGTAGTGCTAGGCTACTGCTACTGCTACTGCTACTGCTACCGCTACCGCTGCCGCTGCCGCTGCCGCTGCCGCTGCCGCTGCCGCTGCCGCTGCCGCTGCTGCTGCTGCTGCTGCTGCTGCGCTACTGCGACGAGTACCACTGCTACAACTGCCACGACGACCACGACTACTCCCCGCATTGCTACGTACCTCTACAACCACGACTACCACTGCTACCACCACAACCACCACTAACTGCGTTTGTGAGAAAAGGTTCCAAGTTGCCGGGCTTGTGGTCGGGGCTAGCAAACAGACAAATGAACAAACAATCATACAAACACACGCTTCACAGAAAACGCTGATAAGATCTGCTCAAAGTAGGGCACTGGAACCTGTAACTTTGGTGCACCACATCTTCCTCCTCTGTCGATCATCTACGAGGACATGTAAGCTCATCTGACCCCAAACTCCCTTCAACCCCAAACTCACCACAACCTCCAAACCCGAGAATGGATTTTTCAGTCTACATTGAGTCTACACGGAAAACCAGGAACCCCCAAATAACCCGACTCAGGGCTTCCATCCAATCCGCCGGCCCCAAAGGCCCTGCAAGCCCAACGCCCTGCCACAAGCCTTGCGCAAGGCCGCCTCGCAGGTGTCTGCCTCCGAAGACTCCGAAGTGGTGAAAACGAGCTTTGCAGCTTGTGGGATGGGTTGGAAGGTGAGTTCAAGGGTAGGCTGTGATCTACAGAGTGCAACTTCCCTTAGACATGACGGGTGAAGTTCATCTAACTCATGTTTGATCGCGGTCTCACCCCACTTCCCCCCTCGAGGATAAGGAGGATACATGAACTCATGAATGGAAGTGTCCAATGCTGCCTTCCTGTAATCTAGCTGCTTCTGTCCAGACAACATCAGATATCCTGCTAGATAGCCAGGCTGGACAAAGTATTCAGTGAAATGGACCCTAAACCCGAAACCGCAGCTCCTGGCCTTGTCCAGACATTGGGCGATCAGCTCGGATGCCCGCAGCCGCTCCTTCCTTCAGGTTGAGGAGTTCGGATTTTGCAAGCACTGGAGGTTCTGGTTTAGTGTTTCGGGATTCCGAATGGCGAGACTTCGGAAATTTGAAGACTCTCCGTAGCAAAGGTGCTCTTGAGAGAGCATCGCTTATCAGCTCTGGGATCGCTCGCTCACTCCGAGGCATCTCAAGCTTCGGGTTCTTCCTACTTCTTGCAGTGCTGGATTTCGGAAGGCTTTGACCCCGAGTCCAAGGCCTAAGGCATGGTGCCACGAGTCCACGAGAGCAAGCGGAAGCGTGCATCCGAGGTGCTGCTCGGATGCGGCAGCAATGACCTTCTCCAGCTTCTTCTCTGCCTCTCGTCGGCACACTCTGCGGATACCTACCCTTCCTGTGCCTTCAGATGCTGTCAAGCATTACACCTCCAGGTCTGGACACCCGAATCTGCCAGCAAGTTTCCATCCCAGAAGTCCGATGCACCCTCACTCGCGAACCCTAAACCCCAAAGACAGAGAGAGACTAAGAGGGCCTTCTTGATGCGAAGCTGCATGGCGGTGAGCTCCTCCTGCAGAAAGCCCTGAGCACCTCAGGGTCGAGACTTAAATCATTGGAGTTTAGGAGTTAGTGTTTTCTGATGTCTGCAGCACTGTTTTGCAACACGCATTGACTTCTCTGTGTGCTAAGTGCAGCAGTCGGTAGCAAACCGCAGGCAGGAACCGAAGCAACAAAGTCAATGTGAAAACCACAACCCCGCCCGACCCAGAGGCTCTGAGAAGCCAAAAGCTTTTGGCGTCCACCGCAGGGACCGGGCCTAACCTGGGTTCTTTCTCCCCCAGCGAAAGCCAAACCCCACTGTGGATGGCCGCTGAGGCCACGAATCCGGCGTGAATAAACCGCCAAAGTGCCCCAACATGAATCTGCTGAGGCACTTTTGAGCTTGATCTCCACCAAGTGCAAAGTGGTCGAAAGCTTCATCTGCGCTGAAGCATTCGCCTGTGACCAAGCAATTGGTTTTGTGCCCGGATTTGGGAATCACCGTGTCACTGTCCTACCCGTACAGAACCTGTCGAAAAGCAGCCCCGCGCCCCACCTTCTCCATCTTCTCCACGGCCTCCGAGGAAGGCTGTTCCTGGAAAGGACGGACTCCGTTTCTGAGATGCACACAGACAGGAAAAAACAAGTGCCGCAACGAGCTTCTTGTGCGCACTCTTCGGTGGGTGATATCTCGGACAATCTCATTCGCACAAGGCGGTTGCGCCCGACTCGAAGCAGCCGGTGCAGCTTCGTTCGTGGTGCTGATTCTCGACGTGCACTTCCCACTGCATTGCCCAGACTCACCGTAACTCTTAGCGACTGTCGACGCGTCTGCCGGGAGTGCATGTGGGTTCAATGCCACCCCATTCATGAGCCCTCGGAAGACCTATCGCAGCCCAGCTCGAACAACGCCGAATGCGTGCAAAGCCTACTCTAGGGCGGGGATAAGCATCATGATGGATGAACGGGACGCAACCGCACCACAGCCTTATAGATATCATCTGCTGGCTCTAAATGCCTCTGGTCCATTCAAACCAATCAGGAGCAGCCCCTCCCGCCCAAAAAAGGTCCGGCGTAGCTGCCGCTGCGACTTTCTCCACCTGCGCAGTTAGGGCTTAACTGGAGTCGTGCAGCAGAAACCCTGAACCCTAAACCTGCAGGGGACATCTTGCAGGATTCACCACATCATGTTCGAGACGAGCTTTCAAAGCCCAGTTTCATGGTCATGACAAGGATACTATATCCTGGATATGTGCATAACGGAAGCACGCGTTGCTTATCGTAGCTTGCCGTCCTTGCCTTGCACCCGACCCAAAATCCTCAATATCTCCGACCTCCTCCTCACCAAGCTGAAGCTTTTCCAGCACCTGTGCGCAAAGCGGGAAAAGGAGAAGATCGAGGTTAGGCCGCTAGGCAGCATGGACTGATGCAAGCCTGCCTGCTCGTTCACTTTTACCCTGTCTTGTTGCTCCTGGCCCTTTTCGCGCTAATGCTTCCGACTGTTCATGGTAATTTGATGATCCGAAATCTCGCTTAGGGTGTTTTCTTGGTGCTACTACCATCCAGTGCCCTCGTCGTTCCTCCCAGCATGTCGTTTAGCTCTTCTCCTGCTTGCTGGCACGGTACTTTACCACCACTATTCATTTCATTCCAATCGCAGCCGGTCGCTCAGCTTGGCGTCAGGTACGTGGCAGTGCTTTGCCCCGGTGCTTCAAGAGCACAAAATCCACATGGGCAAGTGCCGCTACGAATGGCTGCAAACTTGCGACCTACCCAACTTGTCAAGAGAACTGTGCATTGTGGCCCAGATGTACTCAACGGCAGCAGTATGGGTACTGATGCTATGTAACAAAATGCGAGAGTGTGAAAAAGGTGTGGCACACCGATCCATCGTAATAGTTCAGATCCTAAGCAAGTGTGCACTGTACGAGCCAGGGTCAGCGAATGTACAAGTGGTTCAGGGGACACACTAGGAGTGGTCAGATACTACTCCTCCGCTTCTTCCTACGACTACTACTACTACTACTACTACTACTACTACTACTACTACTACTACTACTACTACTACTACTACTACTACTACTACTACTACTACTACTACTACTACTACTACTACTACTACTACTACTACTTACTACTACTACTACGACTACTACGACGACTACTACTACTACTACTACTACCACAACTTACTACCTACTACCTCCTACCTCCTGCCTACTGCCTTCTGCCTACTAGCTCCTACCTCCTACCTACTGCCTACTACCTACCACCTACTAGATACTACCGTATTACCTTTCACGTACCACTACTAAGACTTCTACCTCAGACTTCTACCTCTCGTCCTCCTCCTGCTGGTGCAGCTGGCTGCTGCTGTCTACTACTGCGACTACTCCAGCTTCTGATGCTGACTCTAGGACTACCACTGCTACTAGTAACTAGTACTGCACTGCTGCTCCTCCTGCTCCTCCTGCTCCTCCTGCTCCTCCTGCTCTTCCTGCTCTTCCCGCCCGCTGGCATTTTGAGCCTGAGGCTTAGGGGCTTAGCGGTTCAAGTTTAGTTGCTTGGCGTCTGCATAATACCTGTTTACATCCCCGGGCAGACCCTTCTGGACCTCGGCGAGTAGCTGCTTGACACGAAGCCGCTCCTGCTGCCAACATTGGGGAGGGCTCAAGAAGGGTGTGGGTGACTGGGTCTTATAGGGAACCTCCACTTTCTTGCCGCAACCCTGCCAGGGGATCCTTGGTAGGCGCCGTCCTCCGTCTCGCGGATCGAGTGAACACCACATGTTCGTTCTCTATCTCTCTTTCTCTCTCTCGTCTTTTGTCCTTCTCCCTGTTACCCGACAAACTGACAGTTGAAGATTGCATAGCAGCATAGCAAAGGGCAAGTACCGGAATAAACAACATAATATGTCAGGGCGAGCGATGGGTTCTTCTTCTTGTACTTTTGCTCTTCTTCGCTGTCCTTCTTGTGCTTCCCCTTCTTCACACACACACACACACTCTCTTCTTCCGCTGGGCGTAGAGGGCGGTTTAGGCCCTCCGGCCACATGGGCCCCCCACTTGTTATGAGGACTTTGGGAAGGCGTGGAAAGACCAGTTATTCCCCCAGTAAGCAGGTATGGATAAGTTGAATAGAACAGGCTGGGTTCATAACTGGTGTTCTCGGACACATGCACAGCGTTCCTTGGGTAGCTTAGGTCGACGGTTATTGCAAGTATTGAACAAGTAACTACAGGAGTTCAAATTGTTGTCGACCTTACTTGCCACCTTTGGTTACTACAATGCCCAGGTTCCCCCTTGTTTATAGCTGAAACGTAGCTGCCAACACACAACACCATGCAACACCAGCACATGCGGTAAGATTCGTCATTCTGGGGGTGTCCCGGTTCGCCGCTCCACGGCGAGAAAGGTGAAGGTTTGCACATCGGTGGTCCCCCGATCACGTCGGTAGCGCCCATAAGCTCAAAAACATAGCGCATTATGCGAAAGGGAGTTAGGTAAACCAAGACTTCCGGGGGGACCACATCATGGCTTGTGTTGTTCCGACATGGAAAAGGTTGCTGGCTGTTTGGAATGTAGCTGAGTCCCCCACAATACAAGCAACACCAATGCCCTAAGAAAGATAGCACTCTCTCTCTCTCTCTCTCTCCTATCTTTCTCTTCTTCTCTCAGGCTTAAGGGGCGAGTTGGGCCCCCAGACTCGAAGGCCCGCCTGTGTTTTACGGTCCTCTAGAAGGGAGGGAGAGTAGAGGATGGTTCGTGTGATGAAACGTCAGAGCTCATTTATCACTCTCTTTCCTTCGCCAGGGATTGGGCCAGGGGCAACTCTTTCTTTCTTTCTTTCTGCAGGGCGTAGGGGTCGTCATGCGACCCTCAGGCCTTCGGCCCGCCCAGCCTCCCCACTGTGTTAGTGAGTGGCCGGCCTTGGGGTTTCTCTCTCTCTCTCTTGCTTGCTTGCTTGCAGGGCGTCTGGGAGGTGGGGCTCATGTCCCCACACCCCCTGCGCGCGAGCGCTACGCCTTTGTTCGAGTTCGGTGTGAAACTTGGGTTGTCGTGTACGGCTAGGCCAGGCAGCTTTCGCGTACAGTCCCCGAAACTACCGTACAACAGTCCCCAAAACCCCCGCTGCTTACCCGGCCTGGTCGAACACGGTTGTGTTGGTGCACTTAGCTGTAGGTGTTCTACGCTGTGCCTTGGGCCCCCACTTTTCAAGGTGCAAGACAGTAAGCAACACTCATGTAGCAAAACACTCGTTACTGAACTTGGGGAGGCCCCCGTGCGCTTTTCACTGACCTAGTAGCTGGTTTGGTGGACTATGTTGTTTGTTCCAATGCGGGTCCCTGGGAGAAGCAAAGGGCAGAGGGTAAAAACACACTAGGGGAATGGTCACAACATGGGTCCCCGCATTGGTGGTGGTAGTGGTGCTGTGGCTCTCTCTCTCTCTCTCTCTCTCTCTCTTTTTCTCTCCGCTTATCTTTTGAACGTTGGCTCTACTTTCCATCATGTAAGGCTCTGGAACCTGAAACGTTGAATACAGAATGCACATGGCCGGAAATACCGAAATAGCGAAACAGGGACATGACCGAAGAGAAGGACAAAAAACACACATTATTGTCCCGCCCCTATGGATTACCTTCTAGTCTCGTTGCACTTCTCCTTTGTCCTCGTTGCTTTTATCAGACAGGTTCGGCCAAACGAAAGTTAGGGGCCCCTCCCCTTAGGCCCCTATTTGGCCGCACCTAGAACTCGTGGGAGACTCTGTCATGCTCTGTCACATAAAACCCCAGGCGCAACCCGATGATTTGAGGGATAAGGATTGAATCCGTCCTCGGCTTCCTTGATGCTGCTGCGGAGCTTTGCGATGTCCTGTGCGGAGGGCCGAGGAGTTCGTGCTAGTTTGGTGCGACACAGCTCAAGTATCCAATTCGATGTCACAGCCAAGCAGAAGCGACATGCCCAGCGGTGCCACAAACCCGAGGCGACTAACCCCGCGGCACCCGCTTTTGAAAGCCTGAACGCCAAGGCCTTGTTCTTAGGTGTCCATTTGTGGCAGACATGCAAACTTCGACGTTGCCTGCTGCATGTTGTTGACCTGCCGGGAGAACACGTTTAGGTTCAAGCGAAAGGGCATTGGGTTATGGCAAAGCTTGCACGATTCGGACATGGGCAGCGTTTCGTGGTCGGGCTGAAGGTCACCAGGCGCTGAATTCAACCTCTGACCCATAAACATTCGCCGAATTCTGCCGGAGTCGGCATCTCCATGCTTCCGCAGAATTTGGTCGAACAAGGCTCATTAGTCGAATCGTCGCTGATGCTGTCAATCTGAAATGATGCCCCTATGCCCGAGATCGTAAAGTCTGCTGAAGAGCTCCAAGCAAGTATCCGGCTGGTTTGGGCTTGTGCATGCGTAGGTCAGCACGGATTTACATGTTGAGTCGTTGAACCAGAACACAAAGTAAGCATGTTGAAAATGAACCGCTGGTGGAGGAAGCACCTCGACACTAACAACAATGAAGAGCCAACTCCAATATCACCAGTATTGGCTCAGTATTGACATACGAGTGCCCATATCAATCATCATCATCACCACCAACACCACCATCGTCATCATCGAGCAGAAGAAGCTATAGTAACAAGGACAACAAACGCACAGTATCATCATCATTGCCGCCGGCACCGCCATCATCATCGCCAACACCATCACTGTCACACCATCATCACCATGACTATCATCATCATCATCATCATCATCATCATCATCATCAAGACCATCCCACGATACAAGTCCTTCCTGCGCTTCTACACGCGAAGACAAACCTTCGCCTTAGACCTGAAGCCGACGTACTGGTGATTCTAGCCGGATGATGGCTAGCGTGATGATGACAACAGGGATGACGACACCAGGAGGCCTTTGATGATGGTGATGATGCTGATGACCATGGTAATGCTGAGGAGGAGGAGGAGGAGGAGGAGGAGGAGGAGGAGGAGGAGGAGGATGCGGGTGAGGGTGAGGATGAGGATGATTGTAGCGATGAGGAATAGAAGGAAGAGCATGAGGCGTGAGGAGGGAGGAGAGGGAGGATGTGGAGAAAGAGGGCATGGGAAGACTGAAGATGTCCTGTCTTTCCAACTATCATGGATACCTTAGCGCCGTTTTTCCACCTTGATCCTGCAAGAGCTTCTCGGCGTGGCAAATGCTGCTTGCTTCGCAGAACGCCCTTTCGAGTAATGCCCGAAAACCAGTGCACACTGTAGTCAGACCACGGCCTTGCCAAGCTTGCAGGCTTACAGTTCAGGCTTCTTTGGAGGCAACGAAAGGAGCGTACAAATCGATGACACTTGCCAAGTGAATTGCGAGCTTGTCGCACAGCTTCTGATCATTGCCAGCTTCTTCCGCTGCCAGCCAGACATGTCCTAACCAACTGTCACGTTGATCTTCTGTGAAACCTCGACCACGAACTTCTGCGGATCGCAAAGGGCAGCGCTTGGCACGCTGATGCGCCCCCTCCACGTTGGCGACCAGGTCTCCTCGCAGCCTGGTATAATCCTTGAGGCCCAGCCAATCTCCAAGCAAGGCAAGAGCCAACCGCTCTCCATGAACACCAGCGCTCACGTTGGAGTCTTGGTGAGATACGTCAAACAACACAGACATACGAGGATCTTGGAAGACTCGGCGATAGTGGAAACCGAACAGTCTGATAACGCCGTCTTTGCCGCCCATGGAGCGGATCTCGACTGATGTTGGCATCGGCTTGAAGCCCCCGAGTCCAGCTCTGTAGATGGCCCTACCTTTCCTTAAAGCTGGAGACTCTGGAAGTGGCCCGGCAGCAGGGAGTCCTGGTGGGAACAAGCTCTCCGGCAAAGCTTCGGGAGTAGTTTCGATGTTGCCGTCAGGGGCAGAGCTTGGCTCCTTTGCTTGAAGCGACATGCAGAAGCCCATGGCAATATGGCAATCCCTGCAGCACCGTGAAGGAGACCTAAATCGTATTTGAGCGGTAACTTGTCCCCTCATGCCAGAACCCGAGCGAAAGGCATCTAAAGGCTTCATCGGGTTTAGGGAGTCTCTGCATCCGCGCTACGTCTAGGACCTAGGAGCCCAAAACAAGCGGACCCAGAGACGCCCAAAAAGCCGCAGCCCGACAGCCCCCCCCCCTAACAAGCGCGTGCGGGGACGGGGGACCCTCGTCTGCAGGCGCCCGAGCTCGCCGCCGGAGCCGCCGTGGGCCCCGGCCATGGCCAACTTCTTCAGCTCCGCCTCAGAGCACCGCACCGCGGCGTCGGGTCCTACGGTGCCCTGCCTGGCTGGGATACAGCCGAGTAAACAGCCCAACCTGAAATTCAACACTGACATAGAAAGGGGCGAAAGGGGCTACAGCCCTTCTTGTCGACAGATCTGAGCTCGTCGAGGCTGCGGCTGTCTTCTGGAGCAGGTATTTCCGAGCGGTGACCTCACTTGCGGGGGGATCCAGGAGTCACGATCGCGTGTACAAGTCCAGCAAGTGAGCGGCCAGTCGACCGCGCAAAGAAAAGTCCTGCAAACCCAGCAAGCAAGTCAAGCACCCAAGCTGCGTCAGGAATCCCGAAGAAAAACAAGTGCTAGTTCGCTGAACAAGTCCCACAGACCACCAGAGCGCCGCGCCACACTTGCTTGGGCGGCGCGCTCTGCATGATTCGCCTTCAAGTACGATTTGAGGCTTAGAGTTTCGGCGGTGATAATGATGATGGCAATAAGGACGAAAGTGGTGATATGGTCATGATGATGGTGGTGGTCATCATCAGGCGGAGGCATCAGGCGGAAGGGGAGAAAGTAGGGGTGGAGCAGTAGTAGTGGTGGTGTTGGTGGTCCTCGTCGTCGTGGTTCTCGTGGTGCTCGTGGTAGTCGTGTTGTTAGTCGTGGCGGTAGCGGTGGTGGCGGTGGTGGCGGTGGTGGCGGTGGTGGCGGTGGTGGCGGTGGTGGCGGTGGTGGCGGTGGTGGCGGTGGTGGCGGTGGTGGCGGTGGTGGCGGTGGTGGTGGCGGCGGCGGTGGTGGTGGTGGTATTTGTAGTAGCATGAGTATAGTAGCAGTAGCAGCAGCATAGTAACTGTAGAAGCAGTAGCGGTGGCAAGCGAAGAAAGAGGTACAGTAGGCTTTGAGGCCTGTGTGTACATTGTACTTGAGCTTCAGGCATTCATCTTTGGAGCTTGAGTTAATAGCGATCGAAAGGTTGAACTACGGCCGGGGACTGTTGGCAAACGGTTCATGGCTTCGGGAAGCGATCGCTTCACTACACTGCAGAATCCAAAGCATGCGCAACGCCTCGAAACCGCAAGTCGTAAAGACTCGCTGCGAAATGCCTTCAGAACTTCAGCTTCAAAACGCCCAACAACTCGGTCACAGCAACCCCCAAAGGCTAAGGCTAAACCAAAGTCCTCCAAATCCGAAGCAAAAGCCGGCGCCTGCTCTAAGGTCTCAGAGAGGCCTTCGGACACGGACTCCCCGGCCTTCCCAAAGCCTGGGCCAACGGCTCAGGGGCTCAGGATCCAAGTTGTCGCCGCTTTGGAGAGCTTTCGAGTGGGCGGGGGGTCTTCTGATTTCACCCGCAACCCGGAGCCCTGAGTCCTAAACCTCTCTGAACACCGAAGCCCCTTCATCGGGACATAGGAGCCCCAACCCGTGAAGCCTGAACCTCCCAATCCCTATCATAGACCCCTCAGAGCCGGAACCCGGCACCCTGAAGTCCTAAGTCCTCCTTCTCTTCGGCGTGCCGGGGGGCTTGGCAGCTGCGCCGTCACTTCCGTCATTCGCTTCACCTACCAGCTGTTTCTGCAGACTCTGATTCCAGCCTTCGGGGCCTCAGGGCCTGAGCCTCTTCGGGCTGAAGCTTGCGTGATTCCGGCCCTCAGGTCCAAACGAGATCAAACTGTGTAGCTGGAGCCGCCTTCATCTAATTTCGGGGTCTGACGTTTCGTAGGATCTCGACCCTGATATGACTAGGAGTCGAGTCGAAGAGCCCACCCGAGACCTCCTCCTCTGCTTTCAAGACTTTCTGCTCGACCTGACAGCCAGGCGGGGCTCAACGGTTGTGGACTCGACGAGCCCCCGGCGCACGACCCACAACCTGCACACTCGCAGAGCCCATCCTCCTCCAGCAAGTGAGACCGCTTTCTCTCTGCGATGCTCGTCCTGCAGGGATGGACATGTCGTAAGAACCGCAAGTAGAGTCACTCCATGCGAAGATCCTTTTGTTGCGAGCCTTAGAAAAAGGCCCAAGAGGTTGGCAAAGCCCGGATCACAGCTCCCATATTCGTCGGCTTTCAACTCGGGTTCAGCACAGTCTCCTCAATGTCTAGGGACGCGTCGGGCTTTCAGCTTGAGGCTCTTCCGCAAAACCCGAACCAGTAACTGTCGCAACTGTGCCTTTTTAGGAGCCTCGAATCGCTTAGCGGCTTCGCCTTCGTTGAACCCAAGCTTCCAGGGGTCCTGAATTGCTGCAGGCGGTCGCGGCCCTCCTCCAGCCTCTTCTGCAGCATGTCCACCTTCCGTCTGCAAGATTCGAGAATCGGGTTCCTTACATCCTGAACCTCGAACGAAAACCCTGAGCCCTCGCAGGAAGGTCTGGGACCTGGGATACCGGGCCTCCTCTCTCACTGTCTGACCCGGGGCATCGGAGAACTTTGCCACCTGCACGCGCGCTGTGGGCAGAAGGCTTGAGAAAGGAGGGTCCTGCAATACCTTCTTGTCAAAGCAACTTCCGAAACGACGAGCGGACGAAGCCGCAGGACCCTGCGTGCTACAATCTGTGAATGCTTGAAACCTCGACGGGCGCGCGCACCCCTGCCCCCAAAGTCCCAAGCTCCGTTGCAGAGCTCCGTTGCGTCTTGAGCTCAAGCCGAGGCCGACTTCCCACCATCTCCGGACCATCTCCCACCTCCACCAGCTTCCGGGCCACGAAGCTCTGGGCCTCCGCAAGTGCCGAGTGGACCTGCACGGCCACCTGGCTTTTAAAGCGCTTTGCGGCGTGTGTCTTGGGGCTTCGGATTGAGGAATAAATATGGATTTTGGATATACCTGCGGTTGAAGGGTTTAGAGATACATGTGTGAGTGAGCATGAAGATCATTGGGCTAATGGAAAGGATGGATTGAACTTGAAGGTTTCAAGATTTACATCTCAGGTTCGGAGCATTGTGTGGGGAATGAGAAAGCTGTACTGAAGTGACGACTGCGCATGATTGTGCAACAACTGCAGTGCCCTTCTGAAGAACATTGGTCCTGATCTCTTGTGGACAGAAGCACTTGCATCTCAATTCCGGCACAACAATGTTTCAGGTGGTCTTTCGATGAATGTGTTTGAATTGCCAAAGCTTGGCACCGCTCGACTTCCAACATGGACTGCCCTTACGGTAAGAATCCTCGAAGCAGACCCCCTACGCGACGGATCTCGCCCTTGCGCTGTGTTAGAGCGAAAGTCTGCCTCCTTATGGCAAACTTACCACCGGCCATGTCAATCGCAGAAACCTATAGCTGTCAGTCTAAAGAACTGCGCAATCTGCGGCCTTGTCTGCCTCCAAGAACAGTGCATCCTGATCCTGCGAGATCACTGATGAAGAGTATGACTGAAGTTGTGGGCGCAGAGATTCGAGGTTTGGGGCCATGTAGCACCACGGAATATGGCTCGCTCTAGTGGGATGTACTGCACACAGCCCTGTTTATCGAATCAATCAGGCTCGCGTACACATGTCTCGTGCATCGACTAATGACCAGAGTATGCATGCACGCGTGCCTGCATGCGTGCGTAGGCATGAGCCCAGGTATACACTGCATGTGCATACATACATACATACATACATGTATATATATATATATATATACATACACTAACGCCGATGTCCCATGTGCATGTGTGCGTGTGGGTGGGTGGGTGTTTACATACTGTTTTATTTGACTATGCATACAAGTATGTATGAATGTATGCATATATGTATGTATACGTATGTGCATATGCATACACACCTATAGATATATATATATATATAGATATGTATGCATGTGCATATATATATATATGGGTACCCCCCTATATGGGGTCCCCTGGGTTTTAGCACACCTAAACCATTAAACCATTAAACCATTAAACCAATCCTTTCCCCCAGTGGACCCAAACCAATAAACCATTAAACCATTAAACCAATCCTTTCCCCCAATGGACCCAAACCAATAAACCATTAAACCATTAAACCAATCCTTTTGCCCCATACCACTAAACCATTAAACCATTAAACCATTAAACCAATCATTTGCCCCTATAGAGAGAGAGACACAACCCTGTATGGGCCGAAAGCATTGGTTTAATGGTTTAATGGTTTAATGGTTTAGTGGTTTAGTGGTATGGGGTAAGGGGATTGGTTTAATGGTTTAATGGTTTAGTGGTATGGGGCAAAAGGATTGGTTTAATGGTTTAATGGTTTAATGGTTTAGTGGTTTAGTGGTATGGGGTAAGGGGATTGGTTTAATGGTTTAATGGTTTAGTGGTATGGGGCAAAAGGATTGGTTTAATGGTTTAATGGTTTATTGGCTTGGGTCCATTGGGGCAAAGGATTTGTTTAACAGTGTCTAATTTAACGGTTTGTTAATGGTTTAATGGTTTAGTGATGGGTCTAGGGCTGCCTACTACGCAGGTGTCCTGGTTATAACCGGGGACAGAGGTTATAACCAGGCCTGTGCCACCGCTACAGTACTTCATCCACACCTAAATCCAAACGTTCGAAAGTTTCGGTGTTTCAGGGTGAATGTAACCGCAATGAAATTAAACAAGGACTAGAAGAATAGAGGGTCCGAGGTAATTGGTTGTATTCGGTTGTTGAGGCATGATGCAGTGCTTTGTAACAAACATAATTCCGGGGACCATATGCGCATTCCTCAACTTTAGCGGAAAGGCTATATGGCGGACTTTACACGATGGTCTGTCCGTTCCAGTACATCGGGTTTGTGAGATCTACGTACACATTGAGAGAATAGCCGCTAACATGTCACTCACGCAGGAATCAAAATGCGGAATATGAAGGGGCTCTATCGGGATTACAGTAGGTCAGTAAGTGTTGTCAACATTGGAATATCACGGTACACAGAAAGTTGAGATACGGCTGATACGACGTCATTGTAGGGAGAGAGAGTATTTCAATTTTTACAGCGTGGTCAGGTTTCATCACTTCGTACATAGGCGAACTGGTTGCAACATTATGTTCAAACATCGTTCCAAGGAAGCCGGAATTCGACGAGACAAAACTGATAAGAATATGTGTGGTGAGCGAAACAAAATTTGCGACTTAAACTGTTAGGTTTCCTCACTGTTAGGTTTCCTCGCTCGGTACGTAGAAAATTCCTCGCAATGCTATTTCCAACTACATGGATGAACCTCTTTCGAGGAGTGATTCGGTGTGTGTGTGTACCATGTTTTTCTAACACGAGGATCACGTTCTGGACTCTGTTCGACTTTCAGTAAATGTTCACAAGAACACAAACAGAAATTCGGACAAGCTAGATGTAGCCTTATGGTTTTCAGTCGGCTTTACGTGATGGTTAAGGTATGCTGATACAAGAAGCACAGGCTTCATCACTCAGCATATAGAAACAGTGCAAGCCTAAGAAGCGACGCTTCATGTCGTCCCCCAGGAAAAACACTATACAACGTTTGCTAAGCTTGTAGTATGCAAGTTTTCAATCTTGGCTTGGGGCAGCCGTCATACAGAATTAAGGAATGCACCACTCAAATATACCTACCGGATATACCAGTGTTTAAAAGCAATCACATGGGGGCACAGGGATATGTCATTGAAAGCTATCAGTTTGCCGAAACGTCATAGCAATGCGTCCAACAACAGAGACTTTGTTGGGATTGCGGCATTACAGTACAAAGATGGAAAACTTTTCGTTGCAAAATCTAGTTCGCGATAAGGAATGACTGAACCAGACCAATGACTACAGCGCGCATGTTGGAAAAAACTGAAATACAGCGGTTTAGATAAGGTCACACAAACATGAACTACGAAGATATATCGACGGCTTCAAAGCAAGGATTTTAGCACACTGTAACAGGATTTCGACGAAGGTGTCATAGAATTCTTAGCGTTGTGCGGGTTTCAGCATTCTGAAAACATGGTCTTCAAACCGGATTTAATACTGTAGTCGATGACGTACACCTGATTATAACCTAGTCGGCGGGTTATAACCTAGTCTGGTGGTTATAACCGAGTCAGATGGTATAGCGAAAAACGTAGGGGACCCCAAATAGGGGTGCGCCCATATATATATATATATATATGCATATGCATATGTATATACATGTGCATGTGTACGTGTACACCTGTGTGTGTATGTGCATGTGTACGTGTATGTGTACATGTATAAGTATAAGTATAAGTATAAGTCTATGTACGTGTATATGAATATGTGTACATGTAAGGTCACATTGCGAGCTATTTGCTGCAGACGAGAAGCTCCGAAATGTTGGAGCATGGAAACAAAACAACTTGCAAGCTAATGTGTTCTATGGGGCCCTCGAACTTCAACCCGACAGGTTCCTGCACAGTCAACTTTCAAGTCCATGTTTTCGACAGGGCCTGGGACCTGGACCATAGATAATCAACAACATGACTTGCTTACGAATGGACCTTGTAGAGCGAGGAGCTTGGAATCCGAAATGTTCGGGAAACAATTAACTTCCAAATTCATGGTCAAATTCATGGTTTCTAGGTGTTCAGTCAAAGACACCACGGAACTGGATTATTGATGTGGTTTCGCCAAGGCCTTTTGCTGCGGAGTAAACGACCACCAGAGAAATCTTGCATTGAATAAGACCAGGAACACTAGCACTAGTCAGAGCATTAGGAATACTAACAGGAATACTAGCACGAGTAAGAGGCAAAGCTTCTACCACTAACAGCATTACCAACACTCATACAGGAGTAATAGTACTAATACGAGGAATACTAATACTGATACGAGGAATGCTACAAAAACCAACACGAAGAACAGGATAACTAGCACAAACAACAGGAATAATGGCACTAGCAACAGGAATACCAATCCAAACAAGAGGCAGTAGTACTAATATTAGAAAGACCAGTACGAATAACAGGAATACGGTTTCTAGCACTCTCATAAGAAGAATATTGGCACTATTCACAGGATTTCTACTACTGATAAGAGGAATACTCATACTAAGAGCAGGAATACCCGTACGAGTCAAAGGGATACTAATCAGTACTGTTTACTACTACTACTAGTAAGAGGGATACTAGTACGGATAACAGTTACTGATGACGGGTATACTAGGACTGGTAAGAGGAATACTAGTACTCAGAGGAACACCGATACCCAGCGAATAGTTAAATCGCAAGTAAATTGTTTCTGCGGGCTCCCAAGGAACCATCAACTTCCAATATAGGTGTGCCCCCAGCGCCTGCAGAAGCTAGCAACATGTCACTTGCAATTTAACACATGTCCCCGAAACCCTCCACAGAACCCAAGCACCGAAACAATTAATTTGCAAGTGAAAAAACACTTACGTAGTCATTGGTTTTCTCACGTGTGTACTGATGTATGTACGTACATATTTATGTATCTATGTATGTATGTGTGTAGGTAAGTTGAAAGCATGTATGCATGTATGCATGCATGTCTGTCTGCCTGCCTGCCTGCCTGGCTGCTTGTCTGTCTGTACCGAGGTATGCATGCACACCTTGATGCGTACGGTGCATGCGCATGTGTGTGTTGGCTGGGTGGGTGGGTGGGTGGGTGGGTGGGTGGGTGGATGGGATGGAATGGAATGGATGGATGGGTGGATGGATGCTGATGTATTTACGAACCTACGCACGTACGTAGGCACGTAGGCAGGGAGGTAGGTAGGTAAGTACGCAGATACGCAACTGCTCTGTCTGGAAGTCAGAACCGAAGCTGCAAACAAGGAAACCTCGGAAGGGAGTCCTGGTCTTTGTCATTTCGGAGGAATGGCAGCTCCTCGGAACGGGTCTCAGGACTCTCGGGCCAAGGATCCTCGAGAACTCTGGCGGTGCTAATGCTCCAAATCTTGTGCCACTTTCCTCTCACGTGTTCGAAGCATAAGCGGTCTTCAACATTGCGCAGTCGGTGCATCAAAGTCGATGGTCGGACAATCGAAACCTTGCTGATAAGGCAGTCCGTAACCTGGAGCTCCTGGCGCTTGACGGTTGATGCGCATGATTGCTGGTGCCAGCAAATGTGCAGCGCTCTCTTTGTGTGATGTGCAATGGCTTGCCTACAAAGTCGGACAGTGCCATCGACCGTGAACTCGTCACCTTGATGTAATGTTGCCCATTCCGTGGCAGTGAAGAAACTGCAATGCCACAGGTATCTGGGATGAGCAGTTGCGAGAGTCTTCACAACTCAAACAACATAAAGTTTCAGTGATTCAAGTCGAGCGCCACGGATCCACAATCAAGCAGTCTGTGCCCTGATGGTGATTTCGCGCAATTAAGATCCCACCTCTTCACCGTATAGCGGGTTCCCCTTGTGCTGAGCATTCGGCAAGAAGAAACTTCTCAAATCCATGAAACCCTCACCCCTAAAAACCATAAACCTGTGGAAGAAAAACACAGAGCCCTTAAAGAACCCTACTACAAAGCGGCCAGAAAACACAGAGGCCTTAAAGAAAAGCAGCCCTTACTAAAATCATATCCCACAGCCCCAAAACCCTAATTTCCCGTAAGCCAAAAGCCGAGGCAGACGAGGATCGGCTTCGGCCATTTTCTGGAGCTCGTCTTCCGCGAAGGCGACTTTGTCTGACACCTCTCAAAACAGTGCTTTCTGTGTGGGCCTTTTGGGAAAGTTGTTGTGGGGATTTCGACTCTGGTGCCTTTTGGGGTTTTTGAGTTTTCATCAAAGGGTGCACGTCAACCCAAGCCCAGAGCATCATTGCAGTGATCCTGGATGATGGTGGGTAAGTCGCGGGCCTACCAAACCTGATTCTCTGCAGGACGTGGCTCTTGGTCGCAAAAGGAACCCCAATATCTTCGAAGAATAACGAAACCGGCCACGTAAGGGGCCGCCTTAAGGTGGGGTGCTTTTGGGTGAAGAACTCATCAGCTAGAGCTTCATGACGAGACATCCAAAGAAGCATGAACAATATCCAGAAGAACATGTAAACAGCCACCCCCCAAAAAGCAAGGAGGCAAGGACCAGCGTCATTAGCGTCATTTGGTCCTCTAGGGGTTATCCGGCCCCCCGAGCATAGCCTCCTTCATCAAGGCGTCAGCGGCCATTCGCACCTCCACAGCCGTGGGGCTTGAGAGAAGGTGCACGACCAGAACATTTCGTCAGAAATTAAACGCTATTGAAGAAAAGAAAGGGACCTGCCATTTGGCTCTCTGGCCCTTTAGTCTCCCGGTGGGATCGGACGGCTCGTGGTGTAGAGGTGTTGGTGACAAGCCTTAACACAGTCTTCAGGGTTTTCCTTTGCTGAGATATTGCTTCGTGATGCTTCAAGCTGTTCCCGTCTTTTCTGGGTAGAAGGTCTGGAGTCTTGCGCTTCTGACTTTGATCCCTGCGATTTTGCACGCGATGTCTGCTAACTTCGGACTCTGCCCTTTCACAACCGCCCTCGCTTGCCTGCGTTTCCTTGAGGCTTCGCCGGACTTCGTCCAGCTTCTCCTGGAAGTGTGCGAAGCAATGACCCATGACTCGCCCGACAAAGACCAGAGCGGCGGTTGCCCATGGAAGCATCATCGATCATGGTGCCGGCGCACTCTCGTGCTCTAGTGCTCGGGTGCTCCGAAGCTCCGGTGCTCTGGTGCTGGTTGTGAGGTTGGCGGTGGTGCTGGCGGTGGTGATGATCGTGTTGATCGGTGCTGATGGTGATGAAGGTAATAATGGTGAGTGATATTGGTGATGAGCTACTGCTCCTGCCCTGCTCCTGCTCCTGCTCCTGCTCCTGCTCCTGTCCTGCTCCTGCCCCTCCTGCCCCTGCCCCTGTCCCTGCCCCTCCCCGCCCCTTCCCCCTGCCCCTGCCCCTCTGCCCCCCTGCCCCTGCTCCTGCTCCTGCCGCTGCTGCTGCTGCTTACGGCTACACTTGTGAGCATGCCTTCGACTTGGTTCAAAGTTTCCACGAACGCAGCTTTCCCTCAACCCTCAGACCAGAAAGCCGTGGAGCCTTAAACCGTCCTAAACCCTCACAGCTGAACCCCAGCTGAGACTGCGGCTACGGCTACGTCTCATGCTACTGATACTGCTGCTAGAGCAAGTTCTGGCGCATCACCCAACCCTTCGCACCGAGATAGGGACACAGCAACTTGACATCGTTGTATTGTTGCTTTAGGCCAAAGGACGAAGTTGCTGAAGGCTCAGGATTGCTTCTGAAGTTCGCGTCCTATGTACACTTATACTGCATTGAATGTTGCAGGCAACATGACCGGGTGTTCTAATCATCTAAGGGCCAAGAAACGGCCTGCGAGGCTTTCAGTTGTGCGACAGGCTGAAAGATGTCAATATGACTACGCAAGGGCCGGAAGAGGAATTGGGCGGACAGGCCATCAGCTGCAACAAACGATCGAATGCTCGGAGTTCTTGATGCGCAACGCACGAACATCTAACTGACCGAGACCTAAACCCCAGACTAGAGCCGCTGCTGCAAAAGGGACAGGTCACCCGGATCAGCAAAAACTTTAAAGATCGAGAAAGCCGACCAAACCCCTTAGGTGTACATTCGGCTTCGGGTTTAGGGGCTACAGCTTATGTCTTCGCGCCCGACCCGCTCACCCTGATGTCCTGAGCCAACTTTCCCCGCTCCTGCATGCCCTGAGCAGGGGGGCAACGACTGTGCGAGCCCGAAGCCTTGCCGAATCTCCGTCGAACGTCCGTCCGAGAAGGTTGAGCTCGCCAAGTGTATCGTCGGTACCTACAAAGCAGCAAAAGCCAAGCAGTGCCTTCAGCTCGGCCATCAGCAGCTCGTTCGCCTTCTCGGCCGTGCGAAGCTTTGAGTCGACCAGGCGATTCCTGGTCTGAAGCCCAAGGAGTATCATCACATGGTACTGGCCATGCAACAGCATTATAAGCAGCAGGAGCAGCAGCAGCAGCAGCAGCAGCTGCAGCAGACCCGAAACTCAAACCGCAAACATGATTCGAACATGTCTCAGAATTGCCCTCGTAGGCTCCCCGCGTCTGTGCCAGGAGAGACTGGGCGGTCGCTAAGGCGGCTTCCGTCTCCTCCCGTAAGAGCTCTGAGATGCCGTTATAGGGTTTTTTGTTGTTCGGGACTTACTGTAGGGTTCAGGGTTGTGGATGATCCAACCCCTGCGGCTTGCTTCTGCGTCCCTGAGTCAGATCTGAGGTCTGTGGCGATCCAAACAGCACATGATCCGCAGTGGATGATATTCCTTCCAATCCAGGATCCTCGAGCTCAATGCCATATGATCCGCCTAATGGGACACAACCCCCAGAACTCAGAACTGCTTTGAATTGGAAACAAGACGAGACCTTCTGTTCGATGCAGCATAGAGTCCGTGGAAGAGGTGTTGTGGGGAATCATTTCGGCTCGGATCCTATAAAAGCACTACGCAAAACCAACTGCGGGGTTCCAGATCTTAAGGCAGGCCAGTGGGCTTGACATCGTTTCGGTGGGTTTAACCCATTCCTGGCAAGCGGAGTTGCTCCAGAACATCAACGGCTTGGAGATTCATGGTCAGACAGACACTGCAAACAGCATCTGAGAGCAGCAGGCACTTGGGACTGATCTCCAGCGTGCCCTGCTTCCGGAAGCCAGCAGTCCTTGACGCCTTCTGGGTTGTCACCACCCAGGGGAGCAGTCATCATTGCTGCCTTCTCCACCTCCGCTTTCTTGGGCTTCGGGAAGGCTTGGAGGTCTTGGAGGTCCTGGGCTCAGGTGGGGTTTAGGAACATGAAAATCGTCGCGACATTCGCAATAACAGTTGGCTTGGCCCTAAACTCGGAAGCGAGACCCCATGCCCTCAATCCGAAACTCTGACCCACGGTGCCCTCGATCCCTCGTCCACCGTTCGAAGACCTATCCCGACTTCCAGTCCTCGACCGCAGCTCCTATCCTGACCGCCAATGCCAATGCCTCGATCTCGGCACTGGCCAGCTTGCTGCTGAGATCTTCAAGCAGCCTGGGTCGGCGGCAGGGCTTTACGCGGTTCAGCTTAAGGGCTCGCATCGTGGCAGCCCCGATGACGACTGAAGACAATCATGCCATGTTCTCTCAGGAAGCCCCTCAAAAAAATCGCACTATGTCCATTGTGCAGCGGCATAGCTGTTGCAAGTCGGGTGGACTGGGAACGAAACTGCGGGCTGGGCGTGGGATGAGGCTTCAAGCTTCGCCCACAAAGGTTTGGGGACAGCAAGAGGGAGGGCAGAACAGAGAGAGAAGCCGGGTGTCGCACTTCTTGGATTGCGCTCTCTTCTCGTAGTCCTGGCGAGTGGGAAGGTCTGGGACGTTGGAGAAGGAGATGTACGAGTCTGACTAGGACTGGTGTGCCTTGCAGGCTTGAGGACCTCAAAGATGCAGGGAAGTTCACCACCCTTGCAACCTCCCCTTACGAGACCGCGCCTGCCGGGCAGACTTGTACGGATTCAGCCTGCAGAGCTTCCGACAAGAGTTCGGGGAGCGGATTTCGGCTTCGAGTCGGCCCCCACATGCGTGCATGTGCCTCTTCTGCGCTTCGCTCAGCTTCTCCTCTCCAGCACAGCCATTTGAACTCTGTATATTCTAAAAGGAGTGTCCGGCGGGAACCTGCTTAGGGCTCACGGGGATGAGGGTTCCGGTCCGGGTTCTTGAGAGGGAAGGCCGAGACCTGACCCCGCACTGCATGTGTTTCATATTCGACATGACTCTGAACCCCAGCTCAGTAGTAGTAGTAGTAGTAGTAGTAGTAGTAGTAGTAGTAGTAGTAGTCGTAGTAGTAGTAGTAGTAGTAGTAGTAGTAGTAGTAGTAGTAATAGTAGTAGTAGTAGTAGTAGTAGTAGTAGTAGTAGTACAGAAGTAGGAGTAGGAGCAGGAGTAGGACTACGAATCCTCGTCGCGGTCGTAGTGCTAGTGTCAGTAGCAGTGACAGCGACAGTGCCAGTGCCAGTGACTGCAAGCGCCGGAAGGAGCAGCAGCAGGAGCAGTAGCCGTATGTAGGAGCAGGAGGAGGCGTAGGTGCGAGTATGAGCAGGAGCAGGAGGATGAGGAGGAGGAGGAGCAGCAGCAGCAGTAGCTGTAGCAATAGCAGTAGCAGCACTAGCAGCAGCAGTAGTAGTGGTCGTGGTAGTCGTTGTCGTAGCAGGTGGCAACAGCTCCATCGGATCCTGGAGCCCAGAGAACTCTTCGATCGCCTGCTTCTTGACGACCAACCTGCACGGCTCAAAAGGAGAAGCATTGCTAGGGCTGAACGGAAGCGGAGGCAAGCTTAAGCAGTGAAGCAGCAACTTTCTCAGTCTTGTATAGCCACCTACGATTTCCTCGTATTGCATTCAACGACGAGGCCAGTTTTGCTTGGTGTGATTGGTGGGAAGACACAAATGGCAGCTTTGGGCATTGTGGGCTAGAAACAACCTACCTCCGGAAGGCTGTAGAAAGAACGTAGCACCAGCACTTGTGGCATTGGCATTGGTATGTGGATATAAACATGCCAACTGAGAAGATGCTGAGCCCAATGAAACCAAGCCCTTTCCGGCGGCGACCGATACGAACTGGGGCTTGGGCGTGAAACGGCCAACCTGCACGAGCTGCAGACTTCTGAGGTTTTTCGAGTTCACCGACGGGCTATAGTTGAGGGGCATTCGAAAAGCTCATGGACACTTGCTAGCAGTAGGCGTATCGAAGGGCATATTGACAGCAGAGAGACTTGAGAGCCACAGTGTGGCTGGGACGAAGGCTCTGTAATGGACAGGGCTGAGAGAGACCGGCAGACGACATTCAATCAGATGCGTCAATGTCAAGAACTCGGCGAGATTGCACGATCTGCATTTCGTGAAGCAAAAAAAAGAAGCTGCACTCACACGACGGTTGTAAACGTTACTAGTGGATTCTTTGCCTTCTGTGGTGTCTTCTAGGAAAGGCGATTCTAGACGCTCTCCTACACAATCCGAAGGGGCAATGTTGCTGCAGAATCCAATCCCACACCATGCAGTGCGCAAATGCCCATGAGAAGAACTGGGCTCGCAAGCAATGTTGCTGCCGAATCCAAAATATCCTAGACAATGCAGTGCACAAATGCACAAATGCCCATGAAAGGAACTGCACTCGCAAGAACCCGCATGTCACTGCTGCCCAACATGTGCGAAGAATCTGGCGAAACTGTTGAAGCCAACATCAGCTGCAAGAGAAGGCATCAAAAGAAGCGCTGCAGCCGGCATCAGCAGCATGAGAAGAGACCCACCCCAAAAAGATGTGCTGTAACAAGGGGGCTCCGGGCAAGGGACGGCTCAAAAACCCCTTCGAAAACTCAGGGGATAGCTCACGAAAGCCTCGAAAATGCGAGGTATTGAATGGTATTGAACTTCTCCGTGGGAGCTTTCGTCACGAGCCAGAAACAAGGTCCAAGGCTGCTGTCGAATCCCAAAAAGTCTGACACGCACATGCCCCAAAGCGTGCAGCCAGCATCAGCAGCATCACAAGAAACCCTCACCGGAAACTCGAAATCTAGTACAGACCCCTCCCCGTCTAATCCTGACTACACTGTGAGGTATTAAACGAAGCTCCTCGGTGTAGCTTTCGTGATTGCCAATCATCGAGACCGCTTCGCATGTCATTGCCAACAGCGAAGTTCTGTGCGAAAAGTCTTTGTTCAAGTCTTTGTTCCCATCATCGTGGGCAAACGTCCCAAAACAGCAACCATAAACTTGCCATAAAACCCTTAACTACTTCCCGAGCCTGAGAGAGCTTGCCGGAAAGAAAACGCCTGGCCTCTCGAAGGGTTTAGGGCCTAGGGCTTGAGCTTGCTTTATGCACAAGCTATCGCCTCAAGGGCAATTCCATGTTGTTGGGTCCTGTGGAGTTGGTCAGGGATGAGGGGCTAGGATTTTGGAGTAGAATCCTTAGACACTCGAGTCTAAACAAAACCCCAAGCCGCATAGCGCTGGAACAAACCTCAAGCACAAGCCTACCACGGGTTTTGAGTGTTGTCAGGGTCTGCATAGTCGGAACATGACATTTAGAGTCTAGAGGTGTCTGGAGTGTACACTTACTTGTACACATAAGTTACACGAATCGGCTACCGGAGTTGACAGCCCCGATTTGCCTGCGGCCGTGGTTCATGCAGGCAAGCTTTTCCAGGAGTTACACAGCGCATCTCTGCGCTCTAGACGTCTCGCAACTTCCCAGAAGGAGCAGAGCTGCCGCTGGAGGCGATTCACCGTATTGGACAGCTGCAACATACAGAACACAATCGATAAGTAATGATGAGAACCCGGATGTCCCTGGTGATGATCAAGCTGAAGAAGGTTATCACGCGAATATGCATCGCAATCGCAATCACGAGAACCAATATCCTTCCGCGCTCCTGACAGCTTTCATGGCACTCATTTCGGGAAAACCGGGTGAAACCCACATGTGAAGCATTTCGGAGGCAGCGAGCAGGAGCTTTAGATGTTGGGTTTGCTGGATCCAGGGACCTCAGCTGTGCCACCCCAGAAGCTTCGCCTTTTGGCCCTTTTGGCCCTTTACGGCCCTTTACGGCCCTTAGGCTCTACTCCATCGGATTGAAAATGAATCTACGCAGGCTTCCGGTCTCGTCGACACGGATCTGCACCTTGGCATCGGGTCAGTCCTGATTGAACTGAACAATTCGACCAGTGTTCCATGAAAGATTTCGGGATTTAAGAGTTTCGACAGTGTTTTGGGGGTATGTGGGGTATTCTCTATACTATAGATAGATAGACAAGCAAGAACTTGTGGAAACCCTTTCTTCATATAGACTGACAGGGTCAACACACATCCAGCCGTGTAAAAGCATCACCGGCGATGAAAGAACCGAGCTCTTCTTCAGCTAGTCTGCCTACATTACTTCTCTTGAGACGTTCCCCACAATGAAACGCACGACTCCTTCGAATGCTACAACCTCAAGAAAGCACTGCGAGGAAGAGTGAAAACCGGAACACAAACCCGAGCCCCGCACCACCATGTTTACCGTCATTACCTGGAAGGTCTGGAAAGGCTCTCCAAGCCCCGGCTGAGGAGCGCTCATAACTTTCAATCTTTGCTTTTGTTGGTGGGGTGTGTCTGGAAGAAAAGGTTTTGGGCATGTTTCAGTACATGGAATTATAAACGGAATGCGAACCATCATTTCAGAAATGATCGAGGCACCTGCATCGGCAGGAACACTCAAGGGCCAAGAACTCAGCACGCCGTGCTCCCACCATCACGGAAACTTCCGGCATACAATCCCGAAAACCCATAAACCGCAAGCGCGTAAACGGAAAAGACCAGGGCCTAAAACTGAGAATGCTCGGCTGAACCGAAGAAAACCCGGCCTCCTCCCCAGCAGGGCCCGTCAGAGTCAATGCGAGCAGGCCGTTGCTCTGCTGCCACACAGCCTGTCGAGATTAATATTCATATCATATCTATATGCATGGTCCCCCCCCCCGATCCATAACGGCCTTCTCGCCGACCGTTCTTCCACCATCTTCAGTCTCTGTTTGTTGTTCCCAGATATAGATAGCATCGGTGATTCTCCACTCCACCGATAGTCTCGTGCTACTTATTTTACAGTACTTTTAATTTGTGTGATGTGGCAACCGCCGGAACCACAAAACGGGTCCCGCTCCGTGTTGCGTGGAGAACCAGACACCCTCAATAAAAAAAAAACAGAAACCTCGTCTGCTTGTGGACAATCAGTGTTGTTCTCTCAGTAGGAAAGGAGGGAGCTGTTCTTGCAGTGGGAAATCTTCGCTTCGCTCATCAGAAACAAGCATAAGAAACCCTCTTCATCTTCTTCAGTGGCCACTAACGAAAGATCAATAACCAAATTCTGTCAATGACAATGCAGGACTTTGTCTTCCTATCCCTGTAGAATGTTCTCATTGAGTGGATCTGCTTCCTCTTCCCCCCGAAAATGTATGTGTAGATATATGTATTTATTTATGAAGGAATTGTAAAGGTCTATAGGGGGTGCGTGCGCATGCATGCGTGTGCGTGCGTGTGCGTGAGAATGCGTGCGCGTGTGCGCGCATGCATGAGTGTGCATGCGCGTGCGTGTGCGTGTGCGAGTGTGCGAGCGTGCGTGCAAGTGCACGTGCAAGTGCGCGTGTGCGTGTGCGTGTGCTTGTGCGTGTGCGTGTGCGTGTGCGTGTGCGTGCGCATTCGTGTGAGTGCGTGCGTGTGCGTGTGTGAGTGTGTGCATTCTCTCACCATTACGAGAAGCCATGGCAGGGGTTTCACAGGTTCTTGCATATAACAGTAAGTACCTGCACAAGGCTGCCTGTATATACAAAACTGTAAACAATAAAAACCGGCATAACCATCTAGTTGCAGACAATCAAACAAGACCTGGAGTATGTGAACACAGCATATAGGAGTGGTAAAGATGTATTTATACAGCTGAACGCCTGCATGCAAAGCTACGCAACACCATAGACATGTATACTCTAAAGGTACGGGCCGAACTTCGCTGTCAGGGACGAAAATCGTCTTCGCGGCAGAATTTCGTCTTCAGGACCGAAGTATAACTGTCTTTCAATAACATTCAGGAGCCTCCAAGAGTCTACGACGGGTCTTGATGATGCGGAATTCCGTCTTCGGGACGAGTTTCGTCTTCACGACCGAATTTCGTCTTCAGCGTGATGTGAAACCGAATTTCATGTTCACCCAAATTTCGCCTTCAGGCAGAAATTCGTCCACAATTTTCGTTTTCGCGAGCAAGTCGAGCTTCAACTCCTTTCAAAAAATTTCGTCTTCATCGTCTTCGGAATTTCGGCTTCGAATGGCAGACGAAATACCGTAGGGACCCGGTTTCCCGCGTCAATGTATGTGTATAGATAAAGTATATATGTATACATGTGTATATGTATATGTATGTAAACATACATACATACATACATACGTAGCCTTCAATTCTCCGTGATACTTTGTATAGACTCGTTTTATGTCTCTGGCTTTTGCTACCTGAAGCAAATATCATGCAAGCGGCGAAAGTGATCGAAATTGCCACTTGTACACCTGCAAACGTTTGTGCTTCAGGCACTCCTTTTGAGGCTTGAGCTGTCGGACTCGCCTGAAGGCGATCCTGAAAATGCGAACTCGACCCTCTGAACCTCAATGCCTTCGGCAAAAAAACGAGGGCCTTCGGCACCTCGTTGATGTCCAGTCCGGCACCCGCAAAGGTCATTGCCTCCAACCAAGCTGTCAAAGCTTCACCGGACGACCCGACGAGAGACTGGGAGATACCTTCAACATTGCAAGAAGACGGGCTAGACTTCGGCGCGATGTTTCGAGAACGTCAGGGCGGATGAAGGGCGGCTCTTCCGCTAAATACTCGCACCGAATTCAAATCTGCAGTCCAAGCCAGCATAGGACCGGCTCCGCAACATTCTCCAAAGAAAAACCCACCAACACATACCCGAAAACCAAAACATCCGAACCCCAGAAGCCGAAGTTCACAGTAAGCCTTCAGCAGTTTTTCAAACCCTACAGTAACACGAACATCCTAGACTCAAACCCGTGAACGGCCGTCCTACCTTTCAGGGCCCCTGGCGTTGTGCCCTGGCGCGTAATCGGCAACGTCCGTTGAACCGAGGTCGACGATCACCCGCCTCACAAATTTAAGGGTTGTGGGGGGCGGTAATGCTTTGGGGCGGTTCAAGGGCTGCTTTGGGCTTTGCTGTGATGTTGCGTTGCAGTGGTGAACGTCATACAACGTGTGAAACGCTTGGCCGCATCGTGGGGCGAGGCGTCGAGCAGAAGAAGCTTTCAGGTAAAAAGAAAAAAAAGGGCAAAAGAATTTTAACAAAGATTTTCCGGGGATCATTTTTATGCGTTTCGGCGGCAGGGGGCGTGGTGATTGCCCTGGGTGCCGATCTCCCCCGCCTCTTCGAGGTGTCCACGACGTAGCCTCGAGTAGAGGATTGGGGTTTCAGGGCTTTCGGCTTTGAAGGCAGGCCCTGCAAGGATGTGACGATATCTTGCTGTTCCACTTTCTCGAGGGCATGCAATGGGATATGGGAAGGTCTAACTCACGACATCCAAGTCAAGGAAGCAGAGTAAGCGATTTGTAGACAGACCAGGATGCTCCCTGCCTCCCGTTTGGCCAGGAGGTTGCGGTGGCGGGGGTTTAGCAGTTCGGTTTCGTTGAAAGCCAGGCAAACGTCGTCCGAGATCCGGGCTTACACGCCAGCTGTAGCCTGGAAGGGGTGCATCCTTGGACCAAGGCAACTCAGGAACCGAACGCACTTCCCCCATGCGCACTCCAAAGGTACCAGAACCCGGTGAAGGTCCTGTAAAGAAACAAATTCTAGTTTGGGGATGGGACGGCTTTTATGGCCTTAGGGATGGCGGCTAACTCCCGAAGCTTTCAAATCTCCATTTCCAGCAGCCAATAGTGCCGAACTTTATGAAGACTTGCGATTCACTGGTCACCTGTGTCCCTTCTACACCTATACAAACCCCGAAAGCCCTCCACCCCAAACCCTCCCATAAGAGGAGCACTGTGGTGAAGCCAATCGCAAGGCCCAGCCCATCCTGCGTCAAAAAGCTGTCTGATGGTCGTTTCGCAATCCACAAGCCCGAAGCCCAACACGAGACCGTGGACAAACCCAGAAAAAGCCCAAACAGAACAACCGGCAAGCCCTGTCTCGGGCCTCGAACGCACACTCCTCTGCGGGGTTCCTCAGGGCTCAGGGCGCTGAGACTCGGAGGGCCCTCCTAGCAACCGAGAGAACTCCGAAGCCTGCAAACGCTCAGACTGCGAACCTTTTAAGCAGCAGCAGCAGCGGCAGCAGCGCCAGCGGCAGCGGCAGAAACTGTGACAAGAGCATATGATGCAAACAGCAATCAACAGCCAGGGGCCGAGGTGCAAGTCCACCGAAGTCACTTCGACAGTCGGCCCGGGCGGCGGGGGCGGCGGCGGCTGGCGCGCGTGAAGTTTGGGCTCTGGGCAAGTTGGGTTGGGGTCGCGACATCTCAAACTGGTAGGGATGATCCCATAACCGGCCATCTGAAAACTCCGGACTTGCTTCACTCAGCGCCTCGATGCCCGCCATGTTGGCGAAGGGCGAAAGTCGAAAGCTATGGATGATATTTTGGTAAGAGTCACTGGACTTCTCACGCTGTGGGACTGGGGATCCAGGAAGCTTTGGTCAGAGGTGTCGTTTGTTTGGGGTTTCGAGGTGCTTCGCATCGGAAACCCCCGCGCCCAGCATTTCATGTTCAGCTCAAGCCGAAACCTTGCAGGTGCACTTGCAATCACATGCGCAAGAATGCCGGCTCCCTTTAAGCGCTATGAACAGTTCGGTCATCTGGACTTGGTTGATGTTGATCAGGTCCTGTACAGGGACATAGACTCAGTGCTACTACTACTACTACTACTACTACTACTACTACTACTACTACTACTACTACTGTTACTGCTACTGTTACTGTTACTGTTACTGTTACTGTTACTGTTACTGTTATTGTTACTGTTACTGTTACTGTTACTGTTACTGTTACTGTTACTGTTACTGTTACTGTTACTGTTACTGTTACTACTACTACTACTACTACTACTACTACTACTACTACTACTACTACTACTACTACTACTACTACTACTACTACTACTATTTTCAATTGAACGCTGCGCGAGCGTGCTCTGCGCTTTGCGGGCGCCTACTACTACTACTACTACTACTACTACTACTACTACTACTACTACTACTACTACTACTACTACTACTACTACTACTACTACTACTACTACTACTATGCAGGCCTGCTTTTCACAGGCGAGTCAGAGCAGTCTCATCTGGCTACTTGTATCCCCGCTGCTGCCAACACTGCCGAAAGCTCCAACCGCAAGACCGAAACGTTGGATAATCATATCCCGCCTCTCCGATGGCATTCTGCGCCGTTCGCACCGATTTCTCAGTTTCCTTGATGGCCTGACGGTTTATAGAGTATGACACTAGACGACCCGGGTTGTGAAATAGAATCCTGTATGAATTTCCCCATCTCGACATTGGGTTATTGCTGTTCTTGTCATCGTCTTACCAATGAAAACCACTACTCCTGATGTTGCTACAGCAACTTTAGAACAGCTGACCTACTGCATGGTCCTGGTCCAGGGATCTGGCCGAGAGAATGGCAGGGAGCAGCTGTCTTGGGTTCAGGCGATGTAGCTGGTGTGGAGTAGGGTTGCACACCGTTCTCTGGCAGAAAGAGCACGCTTTCGCTTGAAGCGGAGGTTTTCAGATGAGCAGCCACAGCTGCCAATGCCGTTCTATTTTCTGTTTCAATGTTCCATGCAAAACAAACAAACCATTGCTACTGAGGAAATGGGCGAAGACTCACCGACGTTACTTGCCAACCCAGTCTCGCTGTGGGTTTAGGGATTGCGGACGCGGGGCTTGATTTTAGCTCAGGAACTTAACATGTGAGCATCCGCGATTCCGGGTTGTGCTGAAACAACACACAGCTTACGCCTCAAAGCATCTCAAAGCCTCGAGCTTCGATAAACCTTGCGGGTTTAGGTATGGGCCCTCACCCCACAATAGCAAGCACCTGGAGCATGACGTGCCGGAGGTCGTCGTTGCCCTCCATCTGCAAGGGTGCAGCCGCGATCGAGACCTGAACGGAACTTGGGCGAAGTCCAGCCTTCCAGAGTTTAGGCTCAGGGCCTCACCCCTTTGCGACTCAAAGCTAGGACTGTGCGAGCTTCGTGGATTCAGGCGTGAACCATGGGCACAAATCCCGTGCAACAACACCCATGAGACTGTATTGGCCAGCGTCTACTCCAGCACACTGGCATCTTTTCACTGTAGTTCTGGCGAAAAGTCTTGGAAGATGAAAGTCGAGAGGCAAGGCAAGCGAGCGGCGTAATGACGTCGTGCGTGAATCCTGCACCCTGTACCCGAAATGTCACAGAAACCCTCCCAAAAAAAATCCTGTGCTGGCCTCAACTGAACCTGTATACTCGATGAGCCCATGCGGCATGCGGCCTTGTGACCTGTGTCCCGGACCCCCGCCTTCTCCACCTCGTCCTCTGCCGATTCCACCTTTTCTAAGACGGCCGGCATCATCTCCTGGGGGGGAAGTTGTGGGAAATCACAACCTTTTGGGCTAACTTGGGAATCGAAAACATAGTGAGCGAATTCATCCTGATTCTGAGGAAAAAGGTCGCCGCTCGCAGCCAGGAACAACCATGACTGCGTAAACTAATGCTCGCGGAACCTGCTATTGCCACGACGACTACGTTGCTACTGCTGCTTCTGATTCTGATAGCATTTGCCAAATCTACTGGAAATCATACTCCTCTTGGTTTCTTCTGCTGCTGCATCATACTACTCCTGGTTTTCTTGCTCGCAGACGGCACGGTGATGACGAAACTTAAGAGGGCTCTCGCCACACAATAAATCGCGGGGACAACAACAACTGCCATGCTAACGGTGTGTTAACCAAAACCCCTACTGGTGTGCAAAGGCTCCTTTTTGGTCGAAGCGCACACAGCGCCCGGCCGAGCACGCCGCCCCTGAACCGGTGCCGGTGCTGCGGTGCGAGCTTTTGCGCCCACCCCATGTGCAGGCGACCGCCCAGCGAGACGGTGCCGGCCGTCTAATTCGATCAGTCGTGTATTCAACGGTGGCATGGACGCGCTATCGAAAAGGCGATCGGGCCGACAGGCTGTTCGGCCGATCGCTCGCACTTGTTCCTACGTGCACGTGTGCGAAACACAACAAATGCTATGCACCCGCCCGGCGCGCCCACCGCCCACGAGGCACCGGCACTCCTACCAAATGGCAACATCTAAAAGCCGCTCAGGCACCCCATGACACGCAAAATCGATGTCGCACGCCGACTGGCCGAGGATCAGCACTCCAAGACGTAGATGAGCACGCTGGGCTACAAGTGCTCCGAACTGATGATGCCATATACTCGTAGAAGACGTGATCGCCGAGGAGCAAGGCGGCAGCTGTTTCAAACATTTTCAAACCTTCGAAGGAGCGGCTGCATGCAGCTGCCGAACGTGAAAGACAGGAGGAGGAGGAAGAAGACGACGAGGACGAGCCTAACTGCATCTTGTTTCACACGACCTTATGTTGACAATCGTTTGCAAGTAGCTGCAACCACAGCTTCAAACTGGGTTTTGATTGGAACAATAGCAAGTGGCTAGCAAGCATCGGAGTCAGCAGTGGCCCAGCGAGGAATTTGTGTTGAATAAAGTGGCTTGGTGGTCGCTCTGCTGGCGCAGCTGAAGATGTAAGCCGCCCAGCCAATTTGGATGCCGTTTCCTGGCTCAGGGCGTTCCTTGGCCGCCGGTCATCGGTGGGGCTGAGTTACACCCTTTCCACCGGCGAGGACGTAATGACAGGGAGTCAGCGAAGAAGACCTCCTCACCACATCCTGGCCCGCTGCCGCCGCGTGGTCATCAAAAAACCCGCATCGAAGTCGCCCGACGAACCGGCGGAAGCCATGCTGTGCGGACATGCGAAAAGGCGAAAGGAGGGCGAAGAGGAAATCCAAAAGGCGATCGGGCCGAAATGCATGGGGCCGATCGCTGGCACTTGTTCCTACGCATTCCTACGCGCACGCGTGCGCTACACAACAACAACCAACAACATACCAACAACCACCACAGCCACAACCACGACGACTCACAGCTTTGGGCGATGGGATCCGAATGTGCAACAGCAACGGCTTTCCGGCTGGGGCTCGGGGAATACTGAATCTTACCATGACGGGCTGAGTGTTTCGGGTTCCGGTGCTCCTCCAGCTGCTGGCTCTGGGCGAGCTCCTCGGTTCTCAACCACGCGGTTTTGCCACGGACTTGGAGATGCAAGCACTTAACAGGGGATGTCATTAATGCCACCACCACTACCACCACCACCACCACCACCACCATCCACAGTTCTGAGCATCAGCCCTCATTCACAAAATTCCTTCGTGAACCAAAAGCAGTACCATTGCCATGCATAGCTGCTTGACCCGAAGGGCCAGTCCTGGATTGGGAGGTTTTTGACGTAAGTCGGGAACCAGGAAGGGAGGGCGGGAGGGAGGGACTCAAGGACCGCGACTCGAGGCCTTAGGCCGCCGCCAGCTCGCTTTGAGGCTCCTGCGGCCGATCTTCGGCCTCGGCCTGCGCCAAAGAACTTCTTTCGGGGGGCCGGGGGGGGAACTGTGGGGCATCTTGCAGCGACTTCTTGAGCTGCGACTTTGAGCAAAGGGTCTTCGGACTCAAGCCCAGGCATCCGCGGGTAAAATCCACGACTTGGATTACTCTCGTCGATGCCCCAGAGCAGAAACTCCTTCCCTCTCCCTCGACGCGGTTTTGGGTTTGCTGGTGGATTCAATGCGAGATGTGCAGGAGCATAAATGCCAGATGGGGAGCTGTGAAATCATGAGCCTGCTTCCTCCCTCTGAACCCCATGATGTGTCCATTTATGCTTGGTGGCGGTGCCCTCGCAAAAGCTGACGAAACACAGAAAAGCTCCAGGTGCTGAGACTCCGATTCTTGAGCTCTTTCCGTCAACAGCTGTCGCAGTGGCCTTGACAGTCGTGAGGGGCTTTATCCTCGCCAGAGCGTCCTTCAGCTCGCCCTGACAGCACAGACTCAAGCCCCAGCCACCGAAGTCGCAGAAGCCTTAGCCATCCTGGTCCTGGATGCGCACAGCCCCAAGCTCCAGACACCCCAAATCATTAAGACAGAGGCCCTGCACCGTTTCCCACCTGGAGACCCCGCAGCCGTTTACCGAGCTCCTGGAGCCCGGCTGCTTCGAGAGTCACGTGTTTTGCTATGTAGGGGCCCTAACAACTAGAGCAGCCAGCAATTAGAATAGAGGGCTTTGAGGTATGCATATTCACACAGGACATGAAGTGCTGCTGCGACGGTGCACAGGACGGTTACCTTGAGCTTCTGCTCTACTCGCTACCCTACATCATTACTCTCTACCCTTCGCTGTCTACTGAACCTACTCTTCTCTACTCTGCTCTAAGCCTCTCTGCTCTACTCTCGACTCTGTTCTGCTCTAGTCCAAGCCACTCCAGTCTACTCTACTCAATTCAAACTCCGTCCACCCTCTCGACTCTACTCTACTCTTTGCTAAGCTACGGTCTTCTACCTACTCTACTAACATCTACTGACTCTACCCTACTCTACTCTGTTCTCCTCTTCTCTGCTAGGCCAGGCTAGGCCTTGCTTAGGCTAAGCTATTCTCTATGTCATGCTACAGTATGCTGCGTTACACTACGCAACCTTACGCTACGGTACACCATGCTTTGCTACTGTTTGCTTGCTCTGCCGTGCTCTGCAGTGCTCTGCTGCGCTCTGCTGTGCTCTACTGTGCTCTGCAGTGCTGTGCTACGCTCTGCTGTGCTCTCCTGTGCTCTGCTGTGCTCTTCAGTGCTGTGCTACGCTACACTGCATGCTACGCTAGACTGGACTGGACGAGACCAGACCAGCACGTGGGCTTCACGGTCTTGAGTTGCAAGGTCCGGTCTTTGACCAAGGCGGATCTCCTGCAGGTCTTTCTTCAGGATCGGTGGAGCCTTGGAAGGAAAACGGGCCCTTGTTGTTCTCTGAAACTTTCGCAGGCGGGCCCTCATCCCCAAACATCCCCAAACCCTGAATGAATAACCCACACAGGAACCGCCGAGGATTCTTCCAATCATGCTTCCACTGGCCTGGTGTGCTTTCCACTCGTGCATGTGGGTGACTTAGTGACCCTGTCTCGCATATGTTTGGATTGGTATCACCCCTGCAACAGCACCCAAGTATACCCAAGTGCTGACTTCCAGGAAGGCGCCAGGCATGGTGGAAAGTGGAAAACTGCTAGTAAGCCAGTCCGGTGCTCGCAGGGCTTGGAGCCGGAGCCCTTTGTCTTACCCCTTCCTCTCTTGAAGGCCCAGGCAGGGCAAGTAACCAAGCTTGTCCTATTGATACAGGTTTCCCGGGCTCGAGTTGCATCGCACACGGCGAACGAGGATTGATGAACTGTCTAAGTAAGCCCTTTGTCCTTAGAGTCTCAGGTTTCAGACATTTCGAAGATGCTATAACAGTTAGACCCTGCTTCTACGCCTATGAGGAGGATGGCCATGCACTCGCCCTTCCGCTGTTTCAGACAGATGGGTCCAAAGGACCGGTATGGACTGAGAAGGATGTTCCTGCTACGATCCCTGCATAGTGATGGCCTCAGATCCCCCATGACCACTTTCAAAGGAGTCGTCACAAGGCCTTCCGATGAAAAACCCTGCAAGGATGCATCCTACTACAAGTGCTCTGGCATCAAGCTGCAGCTCCAGTTGGTGTCAGCTTTGGGACTTCCTCTTGGCATGATTGTTGCTCTGAATTGCTGATGCTGCTTGTGCGACGACTTCCACTCCTGTTACTACCGTCTCTTCTGCCCCTTGCTTTAAGCTCAGAGCCCGGCCTTCGCCGCCGCGATGGCCTCCGAACCGACAAAGCGCTGCACTTCGGTCAGAGACTTCCTGGAGGCGTCCAAGGCTCTCCAGGGCAAAAGGAAGGCTTCGTAAGGTGGAGTCCAGTTGCGACGGTCGAACATCTAACCCAGAGGAAAGGTGACAAGCACCGGAGAGTCTCAAAACAGCGAGCCCATATTGGAAAAGAAGGACTGCGAAAAAGAGCACCCCTGGCTGGGGGGGAGAGACATCAGAGCACGGCGTATCGTCACAAATTCAATCCACAACTAATAGCCTTGAAGAGCTTTCTTCATCCACACTGTCAGCAAGACTGACACTTTGCGAACTGTCAACCAAAGACTCCATCAAATCATTGTCACGGCTTCAAACGATTTCTGTTTTATGACTTCTGGACGGACCCAACCAGCCACTCATGCAAGCACAAATGTCCAAGATCTTTTCAAATCCTGTTTACTTTATGTCTGCGCCAGCGCATGTTGTGCAGGCATGCCAAGGTACTGGAGCGTCGGCAGGGGTGGCGTGGGCATGGGTCGGTGGCAGAAGGGGCTGGGCTGGGAGTTGGGCTTGGGGCGCGGGCGGCGGCGGTCGTGGTGCTTGCGCAACCCTCAACTCCACTCCAACACCTGTTTTGTCAGCAGCCCGGACCTCGGGGAAGAAGGCTTCAGGCACTTCAGGGTTAAGGCCCGAGGTCACAGAGCGCCTATGGCAAAATCGGTTCTTCGGCAAACCTGTTTACCGCGCAGCGAACCGGTTTTTCATAAAACTGGCTCTGTTTATGATTGGGAACCACTCCGGAAATCTCAGCAGCCAGACTCTGCAGCTGTTGCAAACGCTGTTTGCAACCACTCTCCGGCTACTTTCCATCACAGAACGGCACTCTGGCCGTCTGATCCAGTCCAACATGCTGTAATTGGACAAACAAACAGCCGTTTCATGATGGAGAAAAGCCGGAGAGCAACCACACTGCCGAGTGTCTCTGATGAGATTTCCGGAGTGGCTCATGGCCGCATGGCTGTCGTGCTTACCGTCCTTTACAATCATGAACCGCTTTTCCGCAGAACCGGTTTCTCCTCACGCCCGGTGTCTGGGAGGGGGTCGGTGCTGCGAGTAAGGAGATGGTGCGAGGGGTGGGGAGCGGTGGTGCTGTTCTCTCTTTTCAGCAGTTTTTCCGGTGCTTGTGGTGGCGGCGGTGCGGTGCAACGGGTGGGGTTCGGATGCATGTAGCAGGTGGTCCGGGGAATAATATCGGAATAGTTTTGCACATAGTTCCTAGCTCAATCAACTTCCGAATGGAAATCCTTGAGTAAACAGACACACGCTACGAACATTTTTTGACAAATGGTAGTGGAACAGCTTGAACCCCAATCCGCCTCCGACATCCCTACATAGACAAACCGACTCCTTGAGAAATTTCTGCTGCTGTGAAAAACACAACCGAGGCAAATTCGAAGAACCGCACAGCAACCGACCGAGTAAATCCAGTTCAAGTAGTGAACTGAGAATCATGCATGTCCTACGACTGTGAAGAGTAAAAACAGTTAGTTGAATTAGAATCAGGAGCTTCCTACGATTCTTTATACTGGAATGTCACGATGCTGGAAGACATAAAAATACAAGTTTTGCTAGTCTGGATGCCCGCCTGTGAGCACCAAACAAAAGAAGGCGAACGCACCAATGCGAAAGCAAGCTTGGATTTTTGAATCTCACCACGCTTCTTTTCTGACTCTCCCCGTGCCCCTTTCCGACTGCTCCCGTCGTGTTTTTCGCCGAGTTCCGCCTGATTTGCCGAATCTGCCATCCCTGTTTCGACTGTTTCTCCTCTGGTTTCTTGACGTCACCCTCTTGAGGCTCGCAAGGGTCCAGGGTTGAGAGTCTTAGGCGTGGGGCTTTCGGTTGACAGTTTGTGGCTTCAGGGTTTCGGTCTTTCGAAGACTCAAGTTGGGCTCCGAGAATCCTCCCCGCATGAGTGCCCCTCTCTGAGCCGAAGCGACGCAAAGTGACGCGGACAGCTCGAAGCCGCGGCTACCGGAGGCCTCCCAGATGAGGCCCCGGCTGCTGCGTCGACAGCTCGGCCAAGGCCTGGCGCCCGAGATTCCCCTGAAGAAACCCCCGCAGCCACGAGACTCATCCTTGCAGATCACTTTGAGGCTTGAGGAGGCTGGGGGCCTAGGCCTATAGGCCCTATGGCCCTGAAGCTACCAGCGCTCCTCTCGGCAGGCATCGACGTCGTCTTCCGTCAACGCCGCGGCCGCCTCAAGAGCCTGGCCAACGACACTAGCTCCAAACCTTCCACTCGAGTGCTCACGATCAGGAAAGGAGGCGGAGTTCAGAGCACCGGGACTGGCAAAACCAGAACAAGAAGAACAACACAAAAGCAGCCACACAGTCCAACATCCCCGTTTTCGCCGATGCTTAGAGGTCTTCTGGGTGAGGGAGCCAAGCTGCAGTTGAGGGCTTTCGAAGGTTTTTTCACCTGTGGGAATTTCCCCGTCTGCCAGGGTTACAACAAAACCTGGCACGACAACCAACCAGTACTTTCCAGAATGATCTAGACCAATCACCATAACCTTAGCAGGAAGCACGATGTGCATAGTAGCATTTCGCATGCAGGTTGGTGCATCTACCAGGACTCATGATAGTACCAGAAGCACCCTTGAACCCTAAGCGGGTAATAGCGGATATTCAGGGGCTCTTGCGGATCCCTGGCAGAAGGTTCACCTGCTTCGCATCGATCTCGACTTCTGCGCATGTCTCCGTGGCCTGCCGGAGAGGAACCAGGCAAAGCTTTCGGACATGGTAAAAACTCGTTGGGTGTTGATGTCTTGCTTTAGGCTTTGTCTTCTCAACCTCCTCGTGACGATGTTGCTTGGTTCTGATTCGACTTCAGCCAGCAACTTTCACAGAACTCAAGCGCGGCTCCAACTGCAGGTAAGCCCGTTTTCCCGACCCTCTCTACTCCCGTCCTGCTCGACCCGCTGTTCCCAGTGCGTCTCCACAGACTTGGCAGGGCGGCAGACTCTCCGATTTTCAAGCCAATTGCTGAATACGGACAAAAAACAAGTGGAACCCATGCGGTCGTGCGAAGAAGCACTCAGGCACCGGCTGAATGATGCTTGTCATCCTCTTCCAGCCTTCGCGCCTGGAGTTTGATCTGGAGAGGGTATGGAGCTGAGGGCGTTGACGAAGACTCGGTCGCTCGTGCCGCACAGCCAGTTGTTCCGTGAATCAAGGGCGCAGTCTTCAGTTTACAGGGGAAGAGCTGCACGCCTCAACCCTACCAGACCCTAGCCCTGCTTCACCAGACCCTGGTCCCCTGGTCCTGCATCCGCGCCAAGGCCTGCTTTCGCTCCTGTGCAGCTGGGTCAGCACAGTCAAGAGCTTTTGCCATCCTGAACCCAGGCGCCTCGTTCTGCCGCTCGGTCTTGTTCATGACGCAAAGCTCATCCCGGACCTCGCTCATGGTTCGCTGTCACAGTGGCTTTTGGGCGTAGATTTGGGGGCTTCTCTCTCTCGGGTCTGGGATCTAGCGGGGGTTTCGGTGTCAGCAAACCAGGTAACTGTCATCTACGGCCAGGGTGGAAAACCTTAAATCTTCCCAAATTAGCAACCTCCAACCCTACACCCCGAAGCCATCAGCCCAAAAGCCTTCACACTATGCGTAATCCTCCAGTCCCGGATTTCTGCAATGGAAGCCACTTTTGCTGACCGGTCATCAAGACGTCGGGGAGTTCAATCCTACACTAAAAAGGAGCTGTGGCCCTCCAAAAAAGCACGTCAAAAACGAATCGCACCTTTGCGAAAGCCTCACTCGATACTTGCCCCTACAAGCCCGAACCCAAAAACACCCCAATCCCACTACTCTTAATGAAGCTTGGTGCCTCCCCGTCCCATGGGATGGTCCAGCCAGACTTTGGCGGCCTCTGAGACTTCGAGGGGTTCCGAGACCAAGCCTCCCGCTTAGGATCGAGGACTTTTGGTCCTTTGGGGTCTAAGGATTTGTTGCGGGGCTTCGGGTCAAGGTTTGGGGTTTGGAGTTTTGCTTCTTTGTAGTTTGAACAGTTTGGGTTTGACGTGGAACGCGTTGGCTGGAAGAGTCTGTAACTTTACAACCGTTCGCCCTTCTTGTGGCTACGATTGCTTTGCGTTTCATCGTCTGTCCAGTCGATGCATGTGCGCGCCTGCATTTCATCAAGCTAGGCAGACTTCCTTGTCACTCAATGGACCCCGTCCCCGACACAACACAAGAGCATGATCTGCCTGGCTGCCGCCAAGCTGGTCACCAAACCACCAGCCGGTGAACCTGGCTGGGAGCAGCGGGATCTTGAGAAACAATCGCTTGAAATTATCTTACATCCTGCTACGAATGACACTACTCTGAACAAGTTTCACAGTTGTGGTCGTGGTCGTGGTCACGGTCGCGGTTGTGGCCGCGCTCGCTGGTGGCGATAACAGTGGCGTTGTGATCGAGGTCGCGGTCGTGGCAGCGGTACGTGGTATTTGATCAGTGTGGCCGTGGCCGTGGCCGTGGCTGTGGCGGTGGCGGTGGCGGTGGTGGCGGTGGCGGTGGTGGCGGTGGCGGTGGTGGCGGAGGCGGCGGCGGGGGAACCGGACAGGGTGGCGACGGAGCTATGCCAGTGTTGTTGCGTGATGCTGTAAAAGAACACAGTCGTGGTGATGGTGAGAGCGAAGGTGGTGGTGACAGTCGCGGCGCTGATGAGGATGATGATGATGACGATGCTGCCGATGCTCATGCTGATGCTGATGCTGATGCGGATGCAGATGCTGATGGTGATGGTGATGGAAATCATGATGATGCTGATGACGATGGTGATATTGGTGGTGATCGTGATGCTGATGCTGGTGCTGGTGTTGTTGATGATGATGATGATTCTGATGACGATGATGATGGTGATGATGATGATGATGAGCTTGAGGATGCTGACGATGCTGACGATGCTGATGATGATGATGATGATGATGGCGATGATGATGGCGATGATGATGGTGCTGGCGATGGTGATGGTGATGATATGATGATACCATGAGACGGTGAGACGATGAGACGATGGTGCGAGTAGATTGGCGACTGTGACGACGACGAGACGGGGATAGCTGCGCCTGTACTTAGTGCACCAGGACTACTGACGACGGAACTAGTACTGTCGTCCAAGCGAAATGCACATGGATTGCTGGCATCATTACACTGCTGAGGCCCTCACTCTGCCGAGTCCGTGTCTTCCCAGTAGTAGATGACCACTTTCAGGTCCTCAAGGCACAGCGATTCCGTGTCTGGACTACTCGGGGGCTAGGTGGCTTGAGGCCAACAGCTTAGCGCCCAAAGCCTCTTGGCTGCCGGGCTTGGGGCTCTGGTTTCGGTGCCTGTGATTGGACCGAAGTTCATTCGCATAAAAACCCTGCACCTGGCATGAGACCTGCGTTGTGTTCATTGCTGCGCGTCAGAAACACCCCAAACTCTGGCCACGCGAAGAGATTGAGCAGTCCTCCGACATGCTCTGCGTCCTCTCGTAGTACCTCGGGTTCGCTCTCTCCGAAACAACACAGCACCAATCCGTCATAGAGGGACTTGGGAAGGTTGACTTGTCTCACTCAACGCATCACCCCGAGTGGTCCCAACGATCGATCCGAAACCTCTTGAACACGTTGGTCCTCAGATCTGTGGGATTGAAAACTCGGGTTCAGAGCTTTGGGTCCCAGGGTTGAGGATTTAGGCCCTTGCTGAGTCTAGCGAGTCTAAGGTTCGAGGCTAATCTCTCCTTGACATTAATGAGCCTGCCTTCGAAAGCCAGACCTCAGGATACTTTACGCCTCAAAGAAAAAACCACAAGCGAATTTCCATGATGCCCTGTTTATTTAATTCCAGCCATCCCTCCCTCGTGAGGCTTTACGGCTGACTTCGCATCCTCGGGGATGCTCGGCCCCCGGCTTCCTTCCGTGGCTCGTCCCCTTCTCCACCTGGGCAGAGCTGGCACTAGGCATCGGCTGCATCGGCTCTTGCTTGGGCCGGGGCATAGTCTCCCACCTGAGCAGGAAGGCAGGAGTCCAGTGGTCCAGAGAGTGAGTCCACAGCAAAACCTCCTGCCCTCCTTCCCCTCTGAGGCCGATCGCGAGGGTTCGGATCCCGATCTCATCCTCATTCTCCGTGGCAAAGACGCTGAGGATCTCGGGGCCCTGGTGCTCCGTCGCGATGCAGTACCCCGAGCACATGCGACGAGATAAGCAGGAGGAGGGTGCCGCGGAAGGACGCGGCAGCGGAGGCATCAGAAGGGCAGAGCAAGAGAGGCTCTAGACACTCCCTAGATCACAGTAGCCTGGGGTGTTTGGGCTATGGTGGGTTATGGCGGGTTGTGGCGAGTTTTGGTGGGGTTGGGTCTGATTTACGTATTTTCGCAATGCTTTGGGGACTCTCAGCTTGAGCCTCGTGGCTCAAGCGGTGAGCGGCTCGCCCCGGGAGGTCAAAAGCAGGCGGAAAGACAAATGAGAGCACACCATGCTGCAAAACATCGCCTGAACGGAACAATACACCGCAGTCGTACACTTTCCGGCTTTAGGTAGCTTTCGGCAGAAATTGCAGGCATCTTTTCGCAAGCCAACAGCGTCGAAGTCGGGGAAAACTGTAGGTCAGTAAGATGAATATGAAGTAGTATGCCGCAGAAGCTGGACCAACACAACGATGCCCATTACGACAATACTCTGTAGCATAACTTTTATAACATGCTGCATAGCAGTGCTGCGCTTGCGAACAAAGTGAGACGTATGATGACTGCGGGAGATCCTTGGAAACTTAGACCTGGAAATCCCCATGACCGTCCCTCTCGCACGCTGTCCCGGCCCACTCCGTACTCAACATCAGCATAAGCGCAAGATCAAGGCTTGGGATGACTGGCAAGGATCTAGGGCCCAGGGATGACGGCTTGAGGTTCAAAACACCCATGCCCCCCCCCGCCCCCACAACTCTGCATTTTCTTCAATCCCAATAAGTCTTGAGAAGGTGCCGGTAAAGCGCGCCTTCACCGGCAGGTGAAACGGAATCCTAACACCCAGAAGCCCTATGAACCCTGCACCCCTCGGAATGTCATCTTGTTCCTTCGGTATCCTACGACCAGGAGACGTGAATCCGATCGTCGAACAGCACTGGCACCATATCACCGTCTGTTCCCAACCTTCTGATCTTCGTGGGCACATGCGGATTAGCACAATCTCTTCGGAAGATCAAGCAAGGAGTTCCGACAACGAGGTGGACCGTGAACTCTTACACACGCAGCAATCACGAGGACATCTCAAATAACTTTCTCACGAGGATTAGAGTGGGTAGAGCTCTGACTCGGGTGGGAGCAATGTGGTTTGCCCATGTGCATACATGGTCTTGTTTACGCAAGCAGCCCAGATGCTTCTCAGCCCCACTTACAACTCTCCTTCAACGGGTTCCAGGTTTCGTGTTTCCTGATTCTGCAAGCCATATCAAATTCTTCAGGCGCTATGACACTATGACCCACAAACCCGGAAACCCTGTGCATCCTTGGCATAAACCCCTCGAAATATCACCTTGAAAACGTACGAACATCAATTACTTCGCATGCCTGAAGCGGAGAACCCTCAACTGGCACTCCATTGCTCACTGCAGCGGAACTCAAGGCTTGGCACGCGGAGGAAGGAGCCTGTTGACCAAAGCTTTTGTTTGATCAGCACTCGGGGGTTTGGGACGCAGGCTGGCGATGCAGGGCCAACGTTTCGACTTGAAACTCGGGCCGAAACATAAATAAAACCGCATGTTCATGTGTCACGACGCTGTTGGGGCACTCTTTGTGTATGTATAGACAGATGTATGAGTATACATGTATGTACACATATGCACATGTGTATATATATATATATATATAGTTAGAACCGGAGGACAAGCACTTTTGTCATGTCGCCCACTACGTAACATGCACCCAAACGAATGAGCTTCACCCAAAGTGCCCCGGGCATAAATGCAGCACAATCATGTAGACCTCTATGTATACATGTAAATATGTAGATATGTGTATGTATATATATATATGTGTGTATATATATATGTATATATGTGTGTGTAAAAATTTGTATATATGTCATATATGTGTATATATTATGTGTTTACTATGTGCATGTATATATGTGTAGTCATGTGTACATATGTGTAGATACGTGTATACATATATATATATATGTGCAAAAACTAAAATATTTTAAATATAGATATGCATAACAAATGTTTATATGTGTATATGTGTATAGGTCTATAGGCCTACATGTCTATAGGCATTTTTGTGTATATGTATATATATATATATATGTTATATACGTAGGTGTACAGACATGTACCTGTACATGCATACAAGATCATACAATGCATACATGTACAGCAAACACATGTAACAGATAGATTACAGTTTCCATTTAGTAAGTTGTTGTGTATGATACATCGCCCTGAACAACAACGGCCTCATCAAAAAAATGAGATGCTCTCGCAAGTAATCGGAAAATCGCAGCAAAAGACATGCAACCAACGGTCCATAATTATGCACCCTATACAACAGATACTCCGCACTGGAGAAACTGAAGGCAAAACGACAAAACCCATCGCCTCTCCAGCTCGCCACGATCGCAGACGCCCCGAACGGAGTTCGCAGAAAGCTCCTCGCTCTGGCTGCACATATTCGTCGGGGTTCCGGATACGCTTTGCAGTGTGGGTCGCAGTGCAGGGTTTCGGATTTTCGGGCCAAAGCATGAACAAAAACTGCAAGGACACACCGAGCCCAAAACCGTGCAGCCCCAAGGTAAACCAAGGGCCCTTCTCAAGAAGCCGGTCGGACTTCAGAACTTGGGAGGTTGAGGGTCCTGCCTGGGAATCATTTCCGCCGTGTCTTGCGGATCTTCTCTCAATCTTCTTCCATTCTTCAGAGCTGAATCGTCCGGAGCCTCGGTCGTGGAGATGCTTGATAGTCCATAATACATGATTTGGGAGCTGATTACAGACACAGTCATAGGAACAAGCTGGGAAAAATGAATATGTGAACATGCGTCATGTAGGTCATCCAAACGCAAATATATAAGTACATGTATGTACGCAAGTTGGCACATGACCATGTGCATGTACAAATAAGCACAATCTACATACGTGCAAACGTACAGGCACACAGACAAGCAGACTGACTGACAGACTGATTGGTTTGACAGACTTGCAGACAGACACAGACCGACAGAGACAGACAGACACAATCAGACACGGACAAACGGACAAACAGACAGGCAGACAGACAGACATACCGACAGACCGACGGACGGACGGACAGACGGACGGACAGAGATACAGAGATACACAGAAACGGAAAATGAATACGTTGTCACTTATGTAAAAGAGACATACGGAAACGAGATATACGCACAGACATGTATACATATATACATATATACATATATACATATATACATATATACATATATACATATATACATATATACAGATATACAGATATACATATATACATATATACATATATACATATATATATGTATATATGTATGTATACAGGCATATATATAGAGAGAGAGATGTACATATATACGTATAACTAGTTTGGAAAGCTATATGCTGCACATCGGTACAAACTCTACATCTATACATCTATAAATCTGTACATCTAAACTTGTAAATATCTATACATCTATACATCAGGACATCTACACAGCTATATATCTATACATCTGTACATCTCTACATCTATACGTCTGTACATCTGTACATCTATACATATGTACATCTGTATATCTATACATCTGCATATCTATACATCTGCGGATCTATACATCTATAAAACTAAAGAAGCATGCACAAACGGATATAAACGTATGGAACAACTATGTATCTGTATATACACATACATATTAGCTGGGATGGCTGCCCCCCACATGTATACAAATACATATACAGATACATAGGCTGAGGCAAATATATAAAAGCGCAGGCATTTGCGTTCACACATATGTGTACATGTGCTTACACATGAACCTTTGCATGTATGCAGGCACATATATGCACACATACACATATATGTATGTATGTATGCATACATATATATATATACGACACACGTACGGCTTCGCACGCATTTAGCGTCTGCATCGCGGTCATGACTGTTAGCGCAGGTGCGGGAGTCGCAACTTGCTTGGTGAGAAGCATAGCGCATGTCACACCAAAGAGGGGGCCAATGAGGAAAGAAGCAAGAGCTCCGAAGGAATTCCAGTTTCTGCAAATCTGCTTGGACTCCGGCAATAGAACCACGTGGGCTGTTAATCGCACAACAGCTGATCAGAAAAAATGTCATTTTAGGTCTCCGGCATTTGGCTTCAAGACGAAGACTTTGGATGATTGTGGCAATCACGATGTATGCAGGAACACAATATGCAGATCGTTGCATCACCTTCGGTCAGTGGGTATGTTCGTAACTTGCTTGGTCCGAACTGATTTCGCTGGCCGGTGTGATGAACGATCGGCTAATTGCAGCTACTTGGCAGCGGAGCTGCACAAACTGTGGCGCCTTAACCCCAAAACGTAGCACATGCAGACTGGAGTGTACATAGGCAAACGCATGTGTGTAAATGTAGCTGTTTACATATACATCTACCAAACATGTACTAGTACATGCTATGTACACTTACATACGCACATGCATGGCACATACAGCATGGTACGTGCACCGGTGTGTACACGCACACCCAGCCACACGTTCATTCTCTTTGTTACATATGTATACTGTGTAACTGTATATCTGTTTACATACGTTCGTAGGCAGCTCAGAAGCGTGGGCAGCCCGCCATGGAGTGAAAGATTCACTGCCAGGAATAGAAACAGCTGTTCGACTGGAGCCTGCCTTTGTGCAGTTGCTCGCCTTAAACCAATGGCGGGCTGTATCGATTGCCAGAATGAGACACAGGATTGCAAATATGTTTTGGATTGCCTTCAGCCCTACTGCCGGATGCCAAGCAGATCTGCAGAAGTGCTTCTCAGAACAAGCACAACCACAGCAGATCAACCAGCACCGTCGGATCATCAACACAACAGGCTCGTCAGCATACTCAGCCTCAAAGCAGCCACTACCATGATCATAATGAAGACTTTGATCGCCCTTAATTTATGAGAATTTATGAGAATGCAAATGACAGGCAACAGTTAATCTTGCGGAACGCTCGCAGCATGAGCGACTGCCGGTGCTCTGGGAGGACTGAGGATCCGTCCCCAGGCAGGCGGCGGAACGTTGCCGAGGACTTGCTTCTGGCAGTGACTGAGGCTTTGACTGTGGCACTTGAAAGTTTTGGGTGGAGAATTGGCAGGATGCAATGCCAGACGATGCTGCTGCTACTGATGCTGCTGCTCGACAAACCAACAGGCGATCAGAGTATGTTACGATCTTGACAAAGGCAGAGGGGACAGCTGTCACTAGAGTCTCATCAGTCGAGGCTGACACCGACGACCAACCTGAGAAACCTGATTCTTGCCTATACTATCACAACCACAGGTGCCAAAGATCACACTTTCATATTCCATAGCTGTAAACCCAAACCCTCACCGCGTGTCCTGAGCGATGCCGCCCTGCTCCTCGATGTCGGCTCTCAGGCGCAACTCCTTCCTGCCATCTGCCACCACAACCACAACACGAAGACTGCAAGCCGACAGCCACCAACCTGCCATCAGTTACACAGACCGAGAACACGGCAGGAGGCCATCAACCCTGATCGCCTCATCGAGTATTGAATCACCTGTGTACAGTACTTCATGTAGTGCCACTTCGCAAAGTAGACCTGGCGCGTGAGAGCACCTTACCGGATACACAACTGAATGTGAAACTGCCGCTGCATCCAACGACGACGTCTCCAAGTAGGCAAACACAAACACAGACACACACCAACGTAGACAAAAACATGCACCCGCAAATGTGCGTAGTGGAGCAGTGCTTGAATATTCTGCACTGGATTCTGCAATCTAGCCACATACTTCGTGTCATGCACTTTAGCGCTGGATCTTCAGTTGGAGTTCGCTGTGAAAGACAAAACCTTTCATGACCAAGTCTTACAGCTACTGCTTGCAGCAGCTCGTAGCATTCCGCGTTCTTTCCAAGCCTTCAGCAAGTCTTTGGAGCAAACCGCGGCAAGTTGTCGAAAGTCGAAATCGGCACATGAAGTACGTGCATGTGGAAGGAGAAAGTTGCAAGACTCAGAGTCATATGGCGGAAGGCAGGACAAGTTTCATGGCCTTTCGACACATGTCAATATCTAGGTGCATCATCGAAATGCAACGAAGGAATGTCAGTAAAAATCTACTGCCCGGTGTTCTCCTGTACTAGGTTGTATCAGGATGCTGGTCAGCTGGCGCTGCATAATGCTATACTCAGAGTTACGGTTACTACATTACTGTATGGTGCCGTCATGTGTAGATTTTAGAACCAGGCTACGTAAAGTTACGTAAAGTAGTAGCTTATGGTTTTCGAGGAGACAAGACTAAGACCGATCTTGCAAAAGCTTGCATCCGGCCATTTACCGCCCGCCTGGTTTTGGCGGTTGATGACCCGTGTGTCCGTGGGAAACTCTCGTCCTTGGCAAGCGGAGAGGCTTATAGCTTAGACTGCTTAGGTTTGCTTACACTTACACTTTAGTCGTAACCTTGCCTTTCAACTCCCCATGCTTAAAACTTCGACCCAAAACATCCCAAACGATGTTTCAGTTCTCCCGCTGCGCTGTTGGAGTTAGCAACCAGAACCTCCGGCAGAAGCTGATGAGAGCCTCTGGAAGCCTGAATCGTCTGGAAATCCACGTAATTGAATACAGCCAGGTCTCTTGAGAAGGAAGGGAATTGCGTACTGTAGTCAAACGAACACAGAACAGCAGAAGTCTTTAAGAAAACACCCTGTCTCTACAGGAATTCAAACCCAAGGGGTACTTTCTGAGCCAACACAAGAGCGTCTTGTGCGACCCAAAAGTATTCCACGATTGTTGGTGATATTTCGGATTTAGGAAGTGACACGCTCAACTCGGCCATGTCCGCAATGCGATGTGTTCCTTTCATTCTTGATGTGCAGCCTGTGCACTGCATGGTTGACCGTCTGCTTCTTCTTCGTATTGCCGTTCATATTCATGATTCGCCCTGTACTTCTTGTTTCTTGATGTCGTTCCAGCATCTCTTGCTGCAAACAGGTTTTTGATTGTTTTGCGATTCCCGCTATTACGACGACGACTCTCTGCATTGGTGTTCTCATTCGTACTCGCATCTACTAACCCGATTAGGATCACTTCCAGCGCTACGAGAATGCAAAGATCAAGCCGAGAGCTCGGCGAACGTTCCGAGCGGCCTTCTGAATGTCACCATTCCTCGGGCAACCCAAAGCATGCGAAGTGCCACACGTCACTTGTTCGTCGCCCGAGCTGTCACAGTTCTGGAGCTAACAACACCGCGGCCTCATGCCTTGTTGACGCCTTGTTCGTGCTACAGGAACAGCGCGCGCGCACGCACACACACACACACGCACACACCAAGCAATTCGTGACCAGGCTCTGTCTCGCCATGCGCTTCAGTGCATTGAACTGCCTGGTGCATTGCTGAAACAACAGCGCCACCAGAAACATACTGTCGAACACGCACAATGGGACTTGCCTCATTTTTTGAAGTTACGGAGAGATGGCACCTGGGTTCCTTCATATCTCGTATGCAAGCAAAGTGGGACCTTATCACGTCGTTCGGGCGATCCGCGTCCACGACCGCTGATGGTGCAATCCTGGGATTCAAAAATGTCGATTTTCGTTCTGCTTGCTGCTGGATCTTGCATGGACTGCACCGGACTGGCTAAGGTCCGCACAAGTCACGAGGCATCGCATGTGTCCATTCTGCCAGATTACACATATGACATAAAGACAACGACATATCTGCAGCAGTGCATGCAACCCATGCAGGAGGTACTCTGGCGCACGGACGACATTCGCATGGCCCAGATGCCATGTCGCTTGGCCAACATGATGAGAAACGATCGGGTGGAGATTGCTCGACGTATGCCCGATTGGACTCGGATGAACGACCACTACAAGATCAGACACGTAGGCTCCATCCCCAGCCTCTCCCAAGCTCCACAAAAAACATCTGGATAGCAGAACCTAGACACGTCGGATGTGTGGGTGGGAGTCACCAGCTCTCACGATAAACATGCGTGTTCGCTGCCAACACTGCTGCTGGCACAAAACACAAACTATTCAAGACGTGATCGTCCGAGAACAGCTCGCCGGCTGGCTAGATTTCGACATCTGCCAGCATGTAAGAACTACGATAGCTACAAGAAAGAGAAAAACAGACCACTTGCTGCACAGGATGTCAACATTGCAGTACTGGCCCGCATCCTCTGCAAGCATGTTGCGGCTTCATGGTTTTCCGGGGCGGAAGCTTGCCATTTCCGATCGTCATACGATCTTGCTGCGGTTTGACAGTGCTGCGTGTCGACACAGCCTACTTCAATGCCGTAGGGGAGGTTTCAGGGTTGTGGGCTTTCCAAAATTTTCTGGCACCCTACACTCCATACCTTTACGTTTTCTGGTCTTTTCTTAAACCCCAAGGCCCCGAAAACCTACTTTCCGGCTTCGGGTGTCAAGGCATTCGTTTGTCGCGGCCAAAGTGATCTAGTCCGGAAAGCGCGGGAAACAGTTCGTGGGAAGAGCTGCTGCAAGCCTCGGGATATTCGAGGAACAGACCGGGATGCTTGACCCTCGGCTGCTATGCTTTGAACACTGCAGGCGACAAAATGATTTCCACACGGGAAAACAGGACGGTTGAGTTCAATGCGCGAGCTCTTGGCAAGCTTGCTTGTCGAGATGCAAATGTTGGCTTATTTCACGCTCGGACGAAAGGTGCTTGGTGAAATGGACGCGGAAGGCGATACAACTAGACGGTCTGGCCAAAAGGGAGGTCGAAGGAACTATGGGGCTTCCCAGCTTGTTGTTTTTGACCGGGGAGTCTGCGTCCTTGCAGGGTATGCGCGAGTCGAAAGTGAAAACACACGAGTGCAATCAAATACGAAACAACAACTCACATGATGCAAAAAGGGGATCCTAGGAGGGCAAATTCTTCAACACCCCGCCTACGAAACTTGTTAAAGCTTCGCAGAATGGCCTTTCTGAGGATTTGCCTGTCCCCTTCAATCTTTGAACTAGTTAAGTCGTCATGCACACAAAAATCTAGCTACCGCAAAGTTTCATCATGGCTGCCACCAGTCCGTGGTTTTGATGAGTAGAACCCCTGTATTTAAAGCGAATTGTTCTGGAAATCCAGGCTTTGGGACTGTTCCAGAAAACCTGATTGATTTAAGGAAAACCATTCCTTTGAGTTGGCTCCGCGTTGTCTTTTTCAAGACTGACGCCTTCTTAGGACTTTCTACTTTACTGGAGCTACATCCTTAGTCGGGGCCTAAAATTTACTACTGCGCTGCAGGCACAGCCTTCGGCAAAGGAGGTACAAGTTTCCTTTTGCAAGCACAAAGTCCACTGGAAAAGGTCCTGTGACAACGGCGCTTCGCTGTATCTAATCTTTGGGAGGCCTCCACCAGGTATGACTCAGCCCAGTGGAGTTTGGGCCTGCCAACTCTCTTGGGGCCGCATGCGTGCCGACAGGCAACTGAGGGCATAGAAGTGGCTTGGTTTCCAAAGATTCGGGGTGGCGATATAGATGTCCCGACCAAAAATCAAATCGATTTTGCGAATACACTTAGAAGGGCTGATAACTCTTCGAGAAGAGAAGGCCGAATCGGCCAAATACTGGTTGGAGCACTGTGCCGCGGAAGGATTGATGGCTTTATGGTCATAAGATTTGATTTCGAAGATGCGACGCAAGCAGTTGATGTGTATCGAATGAGTTGAAACGGGGTAAGAAGAGGACTACATGAGAGTTGGTTGTACTACATAGCGTTAGACCAGTAGCTTCCGATGACGAGGAAGAGGACCAGTTTTCATGAGCGGAGATAACCTCCTTGATGATTCCATCGCGTGCGAATCGTGCGTGGAGACATTCTTATGATTATTGGATTTGGGGTCGAGGTAAACGCCAAAACATTTTACTGCTTCCCCAACAATAAAGAAAATAAGATGGGTGGGGTCAGTTTGAACTCGGTTAGTGGGATGTACTTGTAGATGATCACACCTGTCGAAGTTAAATGAAGTCCTCTACGGGCGTGTTCTTTTTGGATTAAGTAGAAGAGCTTTTCCATGTGGCGGGAAGTGTTCGATAATTAGACTGTGTCGCTCCACATTCCAAATCCCATAAAAGAGAGCCAAGTCGCAACACACCGGAAAGAAATGAGGCCGTGCGTACGTTCATATTCGGTTTCGACATTTTCAAACAAATGACTTGGGACGAAATTACATAATGGCGAAAGTGGGCAGCCTTCGCGGAGACCATGGGTTTGCGTATGAAGCGGAGAAGTCTGGGCACTATATCGGACAATAGATGTGGGAAGAAACGATAACATTGTGCGGAAAGAGAAAGGAACTCCAATAAATTCCACAGATGCACAGTTAGCTCAAAATCAAAAGCCTTCACCCAATCAAGGAAAAAGACATGATACGATTCTGTTTGGCTCGTGTACTTCTAGGCGACGACTTGGATTGGTTAAGTGACTGAACGTTCCGATCGGAACCCAAATTGGGTACGTGGGTTCGATGATCGAATGAGATGCGAGTCGTTTGTAGATGCGTAAATTTTGTACATTGTATTGGTAAGAGAAAAATGGGGTGAATAGCCTCTCGTAGGAAACGGCCTCCTGAGAGACACGGCCCCTGGTAGGAAACTGCCTCTGACCAGAAAACTCTTGCAGGAGGATAAGGTCCCCCCAGTTTTGCAAGGTGACGTCTGGTCAGAAACAAGCCAATGCCGGAAACAGCCATTGCACAGAAACGACCTCTCGCAGGAAACGGCTTGGCGCAGGAAAGGGCTGCTCGAGCACTTCGAAGACTACGCTGGGCTTCCACCCACATAAATCGTCTTTGCAGGTCTCACGATCAACACACACAGCCTTGCAGAGATTGAGCAATTGTGAATTGCACTTCACATGAGGAAAAGTGAAGGGACACAGCACCCACAGAGAGCGGGCACCCACCGCAACTTTTCCTCGCTGCGTTTGTTCGGCAGCCGTTGAGCCATGGACTTCAGCTTTCTAAACATTAAAACTGGCTCCCGGTAGGCTGTGGCTTGCGGAAAGGTTTCGACAACATGTGAAATGGTTTCGAAACATGCTCCAACCACCCCAAAACAAATGTGCGTACTTCTCACGCCAAAACAAAGCTGCCCTTTCCAAGAAGCAAGTGCTCTACACAAGAAATGTGTGGAAAATCTCATCCACCTGCGTGCCAAAGCAATTCTGATGCTCCTCTCCAACGAATCTGGTTTCAAAGCTAACACCGCCGCAAACGGTGTGGTCCATGTCTTCCAACCCGTGGCACGAACTTGAAGACTTGAAGCCGGAGACTGATCTCACTTTTACTGTTGTCGCTGCGCGAAAGCATCAAGTGGTGCACAAAAGCATGACAGGACATACAGTCACTCAAGCTTCACGCGCAGGCACGACAAAGATCAAAATCACGGAGCACACCTGTACGTCGTGTGCCCTGTTAAATATTTACCACACACGTCGCAGTCTGCTTCAAACCACGCATTTTTGCGCTTGCTTGGATCACATTCTGCGTTGGCTCGCAACTGCAAACCGTGTCCTTGGCGGCAAAAACAAGCCCAGAGAGGGCCGAGAAGTGAAGAAGACGAAGCAGCAAAAGGAAGATGGAGCCATGTCGGCCACCTGCTCTTCCTTGATCTTGGTCCAGGATCGGCGTGCCTTCTTGGAAGCAGGCTTGATGTTGACCACCTCCATGTCACTGTCGCTTTCTTCTTCCTTCTTGACGTTGGCTGCTGATTTCCAGAGTCCGACACCGCAGCCGGCGCATTGTCAGGCCGCTAGATGGGGGCGGCTGCTGTCCGGCATCCTCCGATTCGTTCTCTAGCATCGACTTGAAGTCTTGCAGAGCATCCTCTGGAACATCGGTGAGCGACCCATCTTACACTGCCCACAGAGCTACAGTTCTCTTCCAAGCCCATGCGCCGTTGACAAGATTGTTTTGTCAGTTTTTTATCTCTGCAAACAAGTTGACAGTGGTTCGGCAGCAAAAGCAAAGCATCGCTGACGCCACAAGAACTCATCTAAGAGCTCATCATACGTCCTTTTGCCAAGTCGGCCGCACCGTCTGGCACAAATGCTTCTTCAACCGACCAAATACTGTGGGGGTACTCTGATGTGTCCTACGTTTTTTGTTGTTTTCCGGGCCCTGAAAATGGGCTCGTAAAGCTCGTCGAAAGTGTGGCAGGGTAGGGAAGCCCTGGACGGAGGTTTTCAGGCCTGGAGAAGTGTTGGGAGGGACTTGGCAAGGCTGCGGTGCATGAATAGTAGACGCCTTCAAATAGTGCCCGAATAGTGCCCGAAATAGTGCCCGAACTAGTGCCCGAATGAACCCTTCATAGTGCCCAAATGATTTTTCGCGAAGAAAAAGGAGATTTTCCTTCCTTTACGAAAGGAAATGTATTTGGGCACTATGAAGGGTTCATTCGGGCACTATTTCGGGCACTATTTCGGGCACTGTTCGGGCACTATTCGGGCACTGTGCCAGGTGGAGGAATGGGCGGCATTATCTGGAGGGCTAAGGGTTGGGAGGCCCAAGCGTTTGGAGGAGCATACACGAAAAACATGAGGGGTGGCATGTGCAAAAAATTGTAGGGTAGTCTATCTACAAGTTTACGGGGGCCTTGGCCATGCGAGGGTTTGGGGAAAGATCAGGCAGGACTTCGGGGAGGATCTATAACGAGACTGAGACTTTATGAAGGAGTTATGGTTTTTATCGAGTGCAGCAGCAGTCAGTCATTGACAGTCTTCTTGTTTGCATATTCAGAAACCTCCCCCCCGCCCCCTCAATTTCAATGTGTGCCGCAATGTGT